CCCTTCAGTGGAGAGTGGCATTTCTTAGCCATATGCAGAACTTTAGAATTCCAATTTAAGTTGAAACGTACCATGTTATAAACATAGTAAATTTTCACTTCGATATTTACAATCCATAATTTCTTGAAATGCCTGGTGGCATGTTTTCCCCCCCATTATTTCAAAGCTTTTATTTTATTTAAGACAAATTTATTTTCACACTTCCTGAAAGACTGAACTGTTCTCTAAATAGCTGCATTATTTTCTGTTCTGAATCTGTACTATCAAGTAAAGATAAAATCCTCTTTCCTGCTGAAATATGAGGATGATCAGTTTAAGCGATATCCTGCTACTGCCCACCCAGTGGTGCATAATCACTGATAAATACATTTACACTTTAATGATGTTTATCATCAAAGATCTTTAACAAAAACTAGTATTAAAATCCATGGTTAAATCATATCACTAATTTACACATGATGCATTCATATATAGGCATTAGTTCACAAAACTTTTGTAGTAGTTAACCAAATCACTGGCACATTATGATATATATGGCTTTTTAAAGGCAGGGAAATTTATTTTACAGGTAAGTAGAGGGATCAAATTGATCAAGGGCACATACAAAGTCTCTTTCTCAGCTGGAAATAGAGACAAGATCTGGGTGTCCATTCTGCTTTTATATGAGATATTAAACGAATGTTTTGTTTTGAAGACGTATTTTCCTTTTGGATATATAAATATTTAAATATCTAAGCCATATAGGGTGCTCTCTTTCTATGATGCTGAGCTCAAAATAACTCTGAAGCTTACTATTTTACACGTGAGATAAGATTCAAGTCAGTAATCCAGATAATCACAATAATATTTGGTGGAGTTTGGAGCTATATGATAATCAAGAGCAAAAGTGTATAATTAGCAAATAGCTGTGGTGAAATGAACTACAGGTCCAGTTCAAATTTTGGAGAAACCGAAAAGACTGATGAAGACTTTACTTACTGTACATCATTAGTTCATTGGACTATAACTCAGTCCTACACTTTGATCACATTCCATATTCTGAACTAAAAGAAACTACTTCCCTAAATGTGCCTGCTATTATTTGCCTAGAAAATATACATTTTAATACCTTAGATAAACCTGACACAAAGCACACAGGTCAACCAACATACCAGTCTCTATGTGACAAGCGACAAATGGCACTAATACTTAGAGATCAATATAACTTTTACTGGGAAAGCACGCTTGTCTTTATTGGCAGTTCTCCACTGTCACCCTATTTTCATTAAAACTAGGTTAGCTTCTACTATTCCAAGTAATCCTAGGATTCACTTTAGCACACAGTAATGGATGAGGTAAATACCAGAGTTGTAACTGCTTAAAAAAAAAAAACCTGTATTTTGCTTCTAGATATTCTAACCTGGCGTTTACTAGCTCATGCACTTCAGTTCTGTTCAATAATCAACTCTCAAAAACATGCAGCACTTTATGGATCAGAGCCATTACACAGGAGTGTATACTGACAATTAAGTTTTAAGATTCACAGCCCACTACTAACTAATCAGAGAAATGGATGTATACTCACATTTCTAAATAATCTTCAAATGTTGAATCTTCATGTTGAGCACACTGCATTATCAACAGCATCTAGGAGATTCTCCTTGATTGAAAATGAAACCATAAACTTGGCAAACAGGCAGCTGGGGTAGGACAAAATCTAGCTCAAGTATGATCTAATCCTGCAGCAACACAACATCCAATTAAAATACCTACTTTGAAATTATTCACCCAAGAGATGGCTTTAGTTCCATTGACCTCCTTGCTGCTAGGCCACCCATCGTTATGCTAAAGTTGGCTTTACTGGCCAACTACTTTTTAAACAGAATTACCTATTTACCATATCAAGTATTGTGGTTTAAATGCTTAGTAAAACTTCACAATAAGGGATCCTGAGAACTTGAATGATTTAAGTGCCCAACCATTTTCACAATCCATCCCAAGACATACAGAAGAATCATGCAGTAAAACACATGCATATAGACAAATCACTTCACAGCTACCAGACAGAAAACAGTTAATCTGCATGATTTTGACAGGGATTCATCTCTTTTTAATATACAATATTATATATAATAATATTTACATAAGCATATTATGTTTATGCTGGCACCAGGCCTTAACCACTCCATGGTAAAGCTGAGTTTTGGCCGAGATCTACTGTCCTGGTTAATTTTAGGCAGAACAACTTGAAGACAAATCACAAAATAAATGGGATAGATGAATGTAACACACTACAAAAGCATTTTTGTCACCCTGATCTTTGGACCCTCATTGTCCATTACCATCATGATACAGGTTGGCATGATTACCACAGACTGGCATGATCAGATTGGCACGACCATATAAGTTAATTATTTATTTCTATCCACCTCATTTAAAGATCAAACTTCAAAGTTAAAAAGTTTGTCTGTTTTCAGTGTTCTGAAGCTTACACGATAAAGAAAGCCACAAAGCCAAGAATACACACCCTTAGCTTTTATGACTTACATGCAACCAGAAACACTAAACCCCAGGTTTTTCAATGCACCATCTAAGCCAAAACTGTAGTCTTGAAAACCACACAAGGATGACATAGAAGAAGGAAAAAGATTGTGGAATATTCCAACATTAAACAAAAAATACTGTAAATACAATATAAATTATAATTTTAGAAGGAAACCCAGCTTTTAAAGGAACTCGAAAGAATTCTGATTAAACTGTGTATCATATGATTTTGGTAAGACAACTGAACTCAAATGTTAGTGTGCTAATAGTCCTAAGTAACTCATGTAAATTGTGAGAGATTAAAAAGATGGCTGCTTGTTCTAGCACTGACATTCCAACAGACCTGTCAGTGCTACACCAACATACAGACACCATGAAGCTCATAAATATTGATCACCTGTGGAGATTCCTACTTAACTGACAGATCTGTGGGGCTGATCTGAACAGGATCCTAAGGATTCATGCCCAATGAAAAGATATGTTACGGAAAGGAAAAATGGGAGAGAAATGGAGCAACAAGTTTTGACATGAAATTCAGGACCCAGCTACTTGCTGCTCACGTGATAAAACTGTTTGAAGTAAAAAAGTTTGGTAAGCCTGACTTCTGAGGAAGATTAGAATCACAAGGGGGGAAAGGCAAGTTGTGAGATAACTGACTAGAAAAAAAAAATACATCTAAGAGATCTTCCTCTTAGTTGAGGACTTGCTCCGGAAGACCCTCCCCGTATTTTAAGGTTCAGAAAAACTGCTGACATAAGTTTGATGCAGAAATTCATTCTTAACCTGCAGAATGTCACTACTCTGAGTTACTTTCTCAAAGGTTAAGAAGACAGACTGGATTCAAATGAGGAAAGCAATCACTAACATTAGTTTTGTTTAAATATAGAAACACTACTTCAGATAACTTAGCATTTCTTAAATGAAATGAATTGGCAGGTTCTTGGAGAGAATGCAGAACCCACTGGAAAAGTAGACAAGCTTTCTTGAAATGCTCAAAATAAAGGTAATTTCCTATTTGTTAGACTTTATATATACCTAAAATAATGTGAATTTCAATTTTCTACTGGATACAAGAGAAGTGGTTCAAAAGTTGCACTGCACTACACTGACTTACTGTCAGAAAGAACCCTTCTGCAAAGATTGTAAAGAGAGTTAATAACTTTATTACTCAACAATAAATTGGATAAACTATAACCAGACATTGGCTATTTTTGTTTATGTATATATACCAAATAAATAATATAAATTGACAATGATAACTACAAGGGTCAAGAAACACCCCAGTGCAATAAAAAGAGGTAATCTGACTCTAACAGAAACTCATTTCGCCCATTTTCTGAGCTGCCTGAAAGGTACGATAGGCATCTGTGATTAGTAGAGCACTGGGCATGGGCTCTGACACTTTTTGAGACACTGAGTTTGGATTTATCACCACGCTAACACAACTATGCATTTTAGAGTTAGCTAATTTTTACCCAGTTCCAGGGGCTAGCATGCATATATTTCCCTAAGTCAAATATCTTGAAATGCCTTGCCTATACCAGACAAGGCTTCAGTTCACAGTGAGATACAGTATTTCAATTTTGTCCTTCACGAAAAAAAGTTAGTTCTGGAATTCTAATATTTATATAGAGCCAGTATTTTTCTCTAGTAAAACTATGCCTTCTTCTTTGCAAATTTTATAACTGTCATGTAAGTCAAGGCGATAAAAAACACATGAAACTGTGTGAAGAAACTGTAAAAAAACATGTAAAAAAGCATGTAAAAACTACATAATAAGGCCTAACTGGTGTTCTTAAATAGATATTGTGAGATTCTTCCCTCACCACCACTAACAGTAAACCACCTGAACACCTTCCATCTGGTAGGCTTCTTTACCTTGCAAGAAGAGGTAGAAAGCACAGGAAAAGTGGCAGGTGCTGCTTCTTCCTAGCATTGAACTAAAAAAGGCACTTCTAAGATGGAAGACCACAGGTTTGAGGAAGTCAAACAACAGCAGCTGGAACACTCATCAAAGGAGTTCCCTTGACAGATCGAAGATAACCTCTGCAAACTAGTGCTGTGAGAGTCTTCTTGAACTGGAAAAGCTGTAGTTGGAACATGTGTATTCACAACTACAACACACCAGCTTGCATCAAATCTCATCTTAAGACCAAAAGGTCTGGAAAAAAAAAAAAATTTAACTGTAACGCACGGTCAACTTCTAGCACCCTGTTTTGGCTTAAAGTATGGCTCCTTTCTCTACCTTACTGATAATTTTCACTATAACTCGAATATAATGAATAAAATGCACAGATTAGCAATTCTTTATTAAGATGTGCAATAAAGATGCTGTCATGATTTGAGAGCAGTAAGGGAGATGCAGCAAAGCAGTGCGGTCATGACTGGAAATTTGATTAAAGTAAGGTAATCTTCTCCTTGAAAAGAATTAGTGCATTGAGCTTTAGTCAGCCACATCATCCTGTAAACTGCTGTCAAGATAAGCTAGTACATAAATTCTCTTTGCAAAGGTATGTTATTTCAGAAGAGTCCAACTAGCAGAAACATGGCATTTAACGGTACTTGGAAAATAGAAAGAAATGAAAACTATGAAAAGTTCATGGAGGCAATGGGTAAGTCTTACTTTTCCAATGCCTTCTACAAGAATAATACCACTATCACTGAATACAAATTCAAGCTTTCTATGAACTACCTTCTGGCTAGCCTGTCCTTTTGCTGCTTGCTGCTCTGCCCTTGCATAGTGTACTGCATTTGTTTACAGAAAATCACAAGGGGGAGGGGGGAAACTGTGAAATGTTCTGATTTTAATTATATTATTTTAATCTTAAGCAACTTAACTGCAGTAGATTCACTTCAACAGAGGAAAGAATCTCTAAGTCTACATTTGAGTAAAAGGCTCAGACAATCTGAATACGCTTTCAGCAGAATTCTATAGCAGGAATATCAATTTGATAACATGAAACTACTTTTAAAATTACACAGGAAGGAAATCATTCTTCAGTTCTACAGAAATACATGAGTCGAGTAATTTTAACATCCTGATACTTTAAGTTTTTATAAACTGTGCAATATATGGATATAAACATAATCCATTCCAGTTGGATAGTTTGTATTGGTGAATACAGCCTCAATAAAAAGTGAAGAAGAATGAAAATTTGGGTTAGAATGCTGGAATAAACTCATTTCACCACATAAAAGTCACTAAAAAGAGACAAAGATGATGCTCCGTTTTTTGTGGTGGGTTTTGTTTCTTTTATTTTTTCTGATTTATGTTAATTGATTTTCCTAGGTGTTAACATGATGAAAAGAAAGTTAGGAGCTCATGATAATTTGAAGATCACTTTTCAACAAGATGGGAAAAAATTTACTCTCAAAGAATCAAGCAACTTCCGTACCATAGACATTGAATTCACACTGGGAGTCGATTTTGAGTACAGTTTGGCTGATGGGACTGAACTCGCTGTAAGATACTTCCTGTATTATTATATTTATTATATATGGCAATAACTTTATGAAGTACAGTTTCAAGATGAATAGTTTGTCTCCTAGTTTTTAATTTAAATTTTACTTTTAAAGTGTGACTGTTCAGGAATGCTCACAGCTTATATACAAAACCACAAGGTATTTATCTTGGTTTTGGCTGGGATAGAATTAATTTTCTTCCTAGTAGCTGGCTGGGTTTAAACCACAATAATAGTTTTAATGATTCAACACTGTACCATGAAACTCAGGGTTCCACAGAGGGTCCAAAAAGCAGAGCAAAATGTAGCAATTTTCCCATGAAATCCAGGCAAATGCGATTTTACTACTTGCAATACTCAAGTCCAGAAGCTAGAGGGCAGAGTCAGTATTTATATGGAATTTGTTGATACCGTTAATTAAAATAAAGAGTGCTGGGCACTAAGAACATCTTGCTTGACTACTATGCAATTAACTAGTGGATTTATTACAATTTTGTTTTTCCAGCCTTTCTCTCAATGTCCAAAAAAGCAGTATTACATTGTTTTAATCTCTCCTCACTTTTAAGCATTCCTGCAGTTTTTAAATCAAATCAGTGTCATATCTATAGTAAAACATTTGCAGGGTTGGGTTGGTTGTTTTTTTTTTTTTCCTATTACAGGGCTCTTGGAACATGGAAGGAAACAAACTTGTAGGAACATTTACTAGAAAAGATAATGGAAAAGTACTCAAAGCAAACAGAGAAATCATAGGTGACGAACTTGTTCAGGTGAGTTAAGTGGTCACTTACATACAACTTTACAATATAATAACTGAAAAAACTTAAAAGCTTCTTTGAAAGTGGGAAATATTTTCTTCAAGCCAAATAATTTAAAATATTTTTAGGTAAAATTCTCAAATCAACTAATCTATCAAAATTTAACAACTTAAAACACACAACCTGTGACTACTGTTTTTCTACCCACGTGACCTGTATATTATCAATGCACTCTAAGGCTGTGAATAAAACCTGTATACAGAAGATATATATAAACAGACAGAGAGACAGCGAGCTAGACAGACATACAGACTATGTAGGTATGTTCTTTTTGAAGTCTCTGCCTTGAGAAGCCTTATCACATCAGCTTACTACAGAGTAATGCTATCAATGGCCAATAAGTGCCCTTTTTGAAACAAATTTGGTGTTGGGGCAGGAGACGATGCACAGAGGGCTAAGTCTGAGACAAAAGGGAAATGTTTCACAGCTCTGTAACTGAACTGAACTGTAATGCTTTAGGATGCCCTCTGTTACAGGGACACAAGCTTCTTAAAAGGGTAAAATAAAAAAAAACACAACACCAACATCATGGTTGTGAGACACGAGATACCAAAACATACAGTCCAACCCTTCAGTGCTTCTAACAAGAACAGTCACAGAGATGAAACCTGTTAAACAGTGGTACTGGGAACACAGGACTTCAACACTTCAGGTTTTTTCTTAAGTCCCCAAAAGATCTCCTGTGGTAGTCCAAATGCTTGCATAGAGAATTTATGACTACTGACAACAGGCTGCTTTTCTCATGTTCTTTCCCCAAAGTCTGCACAAGACTGGCAGGCCCCTCACGGCCACAAGTCACAATTCATTAAATCACTACTGCGCATCTCTCAATAGCATCCATGAAAGAAACTGTAATACCAGTCACTGATTTTCCTTCCTAATTTCTTAACAGACTTACATATATGAAGGAGTTGAAGCCAAGAGAATCTTCAAAAGAGCCTAAGAACTTCACCCAGACCAGCATCAGAAAAAAAAAAAAAGACCATCTTTCTATATATCCTCTGCCTTTTTTTTTTTTTAACTTTTATCCCCTCACAGCACCTCTTAAGCTGCAATTACTTATCCCTGTTGAAAACACAGGCTAGTTCTTTATGTTTATTGTTTTGCCTTGAATAAACAAAATCTAATTATAATTTGATACCAATGCTAAAATGTTGTTTACACCAAGTCCTATCTGAGTGCCATAATGTAAAAGGTCACAGAAATTATTTTCTGTAAGCAGAACTTAAATAATTTCTTGCATTGGTTCTCAAATGACAACTTAGTTTCCTTACCATACTATTTATATGGATAAATGGTTTCTCTGTGTATTAAATTTTATGTAATATGGATGGCAAAGCCCGAAAGAAACCTCAGAGCACCTAAGTCTCTGTAAGCACAAAATGGAATAAACATAAAATATGATGTGATAATACAGCTCACTTGGAGGTCTTAAATGATATCCCATTCCTCTAATCAACAGGAATAATATAAAGCATGTAGTGATGATATTCTGGTATCTCACAGAAAGTAATTTCACTGTGTTTGTTTCAAAAAATATGACCATGCTTTTAAACATGGAGATTTTCAGTTGTTGCCATTTATCAGGGGTTCAAATAATTCTGTGTCAGGAAGAGAATTAGCAGGCTCTGAGCAAGTTTCTTTTAGGACATGAACAAAAATATTGAAAGGATCTTAACAAGATAAGGAATAATTTCAAACTACGTTGACTCCAAACACTAGTGTTCCTTACAGGTGACAAATAAGCACCATGTTCGGCTCATGCTGTCCAGTCTGTGTTATTTTCAACCCAGCGTCGCACCCCTTGAGTTGCACTGTTTCCTCAGGGCTGCAGTAAAAGTTCATCTTGAGGATCAGCGCTAGTTACATCTTCTGTGTCCCTCTAACGATGCCTCCCAATGGTCAGCTAGTCCTGTCCCCATGTCTAAAGGGCAGTCTGCCTCCTGGTCCTGAACCAATTCTGATGCATCAGCAAGCCAGACCTGTGTGCTGCCGGTACTCTTGTCCTTCAGCATACAAGCAAGCCCTGAAAGGCTGATTCATGTAAGGTTTTTTTGCCAAAAGGTCACAATACCACACGAGCCTGAGGACAGCCCCGAGGCCTAAACTAAGATTCACACGCAACCATACTTGTCATTATGATTTTAGTGGGTTTTTTAAATACCTCACAAAATTTACTCCCCTGTTTTCTCTGCTCTCTTTGACTTTTTTTGCTGGCCATAAGCGAATAAAAAAGAAATCAGTGTTTTCCTTCAGTTATTTTTGTAACCGAATCCTCTCTCAGCCTGTGTTTTTCCGGACTTCAGCGTCTCACAGCTCCCTCTACTGCAAAAATGCTCTCATGACGCTAATAGTACTCAAGTTAGGAGTAAGACAGACGACCCTTGGATTTCCTCTCCCAGATACTGATTGTATGACATTTCCCGTGTACATTTTTTCTTACATAATCACTTTTCAGTGGTATATTTAGACACATATCACAATGAAGAGTACTATTTTAAAGAGTCCTTCAAGTACAGAGAGATGTTAAACTGAAAAGCAAAGGTATGAAAAACTAGAAAAAGCCCCACCAAACAAAAACAACATCCTATAATTTAGATTTTGTTTAGATACTAATGCCTTTAAGAGGGAGAGGGACAAAGAAATACGGCTTGCAGTACACTCTGTGACAGTTGTGTGCCCTGAAAAAGCAGACTAAACTATAAGAAGCCCTAATCATCCAAGTGCTGTTACAGAACTTGACCTTTGTAATCATTTGCATGTCATCACTGCTTCTAAATTGCATACAAGTATATTAGCAATTAATTATTTCAATGGCTTCAGGAAATTGAAGAATGCCAGTTTATTTCTATTAGAGGCTTTACTGGCTGGAATGAAAGTTACATTAACTTTCTGAATACATTTTCTCCTCCTTCCCTGAGGATACTTATCAATGCCTGCTATTAATGCACTTGCCTCTGCGACACCCAACCCTGATGCATAGTTATTTTGATCTAGGTTATCAGATCTGTTTGACTGATTGGCTCCCATAATCAGTAGGGTATTTTGTTCGATAAGTATTTGAGAGATTAATCTAGTTCATTCTGGGCTTCATACAAGACTACAAACTGAAAAGTAAACTGGTAATTATTTACTAAAACCAAGATACAGCAGAAGTATGTAACAACTCCAAATCCTTCAGACATGCCTGGACAGCAGCTGTACTTCAAAAAAAATAAGGAAAAATCTTTTAAAGACTCAGTCTCCAGTACTTGAGACTGAGATCATTAAAGAGATGGAGGAGAGCGGTACAGATATGGTAAACTAACAGATAAGATTATAGTAGATGTGAATGAGTTAAATTTGAGCAGGAGACTTTTTTTTCCCTTTGCAGTAATTTCAGAATTACATTACACTGCAACCTAATAGGAAGTAAGTTGCTTTGGGGAAGCCTACAATCCACATTTCCTTTTGCTCAAATGAGCAATAAAGACTTAAAGGGGAAGTACTGTCATTGTTTTCCCCCCAAAATCTCTTACATACTTCACCTAACACAGACGTGCTTACCAGATATGTCCTACATAATTCAAGGTCATCCTTATTTCTAATGATAGAACTTACTAAGGAAAATAGCTACCCCTAAGTGCATGTTTATGAGAAGTTAAACTGATCAGATACACCTGCTCTGCATTCTGCAATAAGTACTACCTTTTCCTTTACTATGAGGCTAAAGAGGGTTAATAGCTGCATTAAGGAAGCAGGGTTTCTTGGTACAGTCCCAAGTTGCTGGTCTCTCTTCTGAACACAGTAACTGCACTCCTTCCAATGCTGAGTACTGGCTGACTAAGGGTAGCTCAGCCCAACTATGAGCATGGCGTCAGGTTATACAGCTTGTGAAACTTCATACATTTTTTAAGTTCTCATGCAGCAATGTATTTAGTAAATAAAGCACACAGTATACACAATCTGCATGAACCTTCCTGTTTGCTGTGGGTGTACAGGAAACCTAACCTTTAGGGACAGGAAGAACATCTTGGAACGATTTGAATTTTCCTCAAGCTCATCAGGATTTTCAAAAAAGTCTTTCAGTTTCCTCCAGGTCATCATCGGCTCTCCAAGAAACCGTATTAGAAAGAACTTGTGTATGTCTATTTCCACATAAGCCCCAGTACAGCTTCACAGAAGAAAACCAACACGGTCTGACACGACTGCCCACCTGCTTTTCTCCACACCTGTCTCCCCCGGCCGAGAGCCCTGTCAGGGAGCGGCAACCAGTGGTACACAAGTACTACCGCAGAAACGTCAGTCACCAACTCAGCCTCCGCAGGCAGCGCTTCTCCCAGAACTAGCAAGAGAAGCAGGAGTTCCCTCCATGTCCAGGGCTTTTACCATACCACCCCGCCGGTCACCGCCATTAGCCACCCAGCAGCAAGAGGGAAGTACCCATCGCGGCGGCAACTCCCAGGACAGGAACGAGGAAGGCAGAGCAGCCGTGCTTGCAGAAAGGGGCAAAACACCACCACGCCACAGGGTCGCGACAGGGACAGCGACAGGGACAACGACAAGGACTCCGCCACGCACACCCCACCGACCACCAATTCCCACCGACCCCCGCCCTCCGCAGAACGTAAGCACAGCGCGGCGCTAGGCAGCAAAGGCAGCGTCTGTATGCATTGACCGCAGGGCGTGACAGCGATACGTGCGCTTCGTTCCCATTGGCTGCCTACCCGGAAGTATAGCTGGAGCTTGCGTGGTGAGTATCTCGGTCCTGGTAGGCGACCCTCCAGGACATGGAGACGGAGGCGAGGCGGCGGGAGCCGTGGGATGTGGCGGACTATGGCGGCCGGGCGCAGGCGATGTCGCTGTCGGGGCAGTCCTACTGGCTGGACCTGTGGCTTTTCCTTCTCTTCGACCTGGCGCTCTTCGTGGTCATCTACTTGCTGCCCTGAGGATGCCGGGCCTAGGTCAGCCGCCGCCAGGGAGCGGATGCGTCTGGTCGGATTCACGGCCGGTTCGCAGCGGGGTGGGGAGCTCCCGGTCTGTCGCGGGCTTCCCCCTAGCCTTTAGGGCGAGCTGTAGCGAGCAGGTGCTGCACTGAGGAGCCGGTTCGGGGCGGGAGGAGGAGGCCCGGCGGGCGGCCAGGGTGTGACCGGCGGCCGGGGAGCTGCCGCTGTGAGCAGCTGGACGGCCCGTGCGTCTCCGAGGCACCCACGGGTGAAGATACCGCTGCTAGTTGAGGAGCGGCTCCTGGGAGCAGCTTTTCCTGTCCCTGCCCAACCTCAAAGGGCCTGGAGAGCACAAATACCCCCAAAGAAACGTAAAACTAATTTCAAAAGAGAAGGTTGGGTTTTTCTTGTTTGTGCTAACACGAAAAAAAAAGTATCAGGTCTTGGATCACAGTATGCTTGATGCTTTTCTCATGTTTGCTGTATCTTTGAAAGGAGTTGTGTAGTACTGCAAAAGTAACCTGGGCTTTTCTGTTCCCTGTAGAGCCACTGTCTAATCACAGGATGCACCTTAAGAAACAAGCAGAGGAAGAGGAGGCCCGTTTGTGCAGCATAAACAGCAGGGAGCACTATTCCCTTGAATGCAGGAAGCATATATATTACATTATGTATATCTGTATCGTATTGTAATACACATACATTACAATATTTGTGGCTGTATCCCAAGTATTACAGTTCAGGTTTTTACCTGTATCCTGTACTGTGTCTTAAGGGTCATGTATGACAGTCTGACTGTACTTTTGTAATTAGTACCTAAAGGTTTGTTAAGCAGAGATGAACATCCATGCTGTTTGAATAAAATCAACCGAAAGAACAGACTGTAGAATGGCTGAGAAAAAAATCCAGCTCTAACAGCTTCAGTGTGTGTAAGTCAGACCCAGCTGGTTTACTTTCAGAAATTAATCATAAGGGTTTGATGCTGTTTGATTTTCTATTATGTGTTTCTACTGCAGCAATTACTTTGCCTTCTGAAACATGCTAGTGTTTAACAGCAGTAGCAGCCTACTGTACTCACTAATTAAGGTAAACCAGGTTCTGATTTTCTTTGAAATAAAGAGTGAAAGAGCAACCTTCTGTCAGCAGCCTTCTTGAATAGCTGGCAGGTGATATGCAAACTACCCTCTTCCATACACTGTCCATGGATGACTTTAAGTGGACAGAGGTTTCAACTTCCAGGTGTGCATCAAAATTTCCTGTTTCACTATAGGGACTTTCAAAACTCTGTTAGATTAAGGAATCTCTCCTTCCAGTGGAAGAAAAGGAATGTAAACACATGGAGCAAGCTTTATACCTCATCAGGTTTTAGGGAAGACAGTCTTCAGCTGTGGATGAAGGAGGGGGTGCAGTTATCTTGAGTATTTTTCCCTTGTGAATACTAGTTTCTAATTCTGAAAAGTACAATTCATAATTATTGGGTGTTTATCACAAATAATTACAAAAAATAAGTAGATTTCAGGACTTTGACATTTCATTGTCCATTAAGAAGCTAGCATTTATGATCTTGGCTGCTGGGACCTTGGCTCGTGGTGTGGAAGAATGCTGAACTGCAACTGCATTCTCACCAACAGAAAGGTTTTACAGTTAGCTCACTTTTTTTTTTTTCCTCCCCGCCCTCTTTTTCCCTAACATGATTTCACCAGGGAAATCCCAAGGGAGTAACCTATTAGAGAAGTACTGTTGCACCATTTCTCTTCTGGTAAGGAAGACACGTGTGTAGGTCTAAATATCCTTTAGAAAACTAAACTATTAGGAGATACACTGAAATTTAACTTTCTCCTTCAGCCAGATCTGGCATGGAAGGTTTTACTTAGCTCAAAAAAACTTAAAGGTAATGAAATGCAGGCTGTGTGGTGCCTTGGGCTCAAGCTATTTTATATGTTCCTGAAGCATGTGAATATATACATCAAGACAAATTTCACTTATCCATAATAAAGCGTAAGGTAGCAAAACAGCTTGTGTAACTAATCAATCAGTTGTTACCCAAGGCTGTGGGATTATGGAATTAAGATTGCCCTATGCATTTCACAGATACAAACCTATTTAGCTTACTGAAGAAATACTTCAGAAGTTGAATTCTGCTGTTTGAAAAAATGTAATTGAACCATCATCTCTGCAAGACTTTGGACCATTAGTAGCAGTATCAGTCTGTCACTATTTAAAAATGTAGCTCTGGAAAGCCATCTTTCCATTTTTTCAGGGTTTTTTTTGTTTGGTTGGTTAGTTTTTGGGGTTGTTTTTTTGTTTTTGTTTTTTTAATGTGGAATACAAAAGGAACAGGAGAGAAAGGTACTTTAAATTTTTATCTGATAGTTAGAATAAGGAGGACTTTGCAAGAAAATAATTCTAAAGACTGAAAAAATATATAAATTACAAGACTTGTTAATGTCTTTACTGTTACAAAAATTGTCTAGGCTCTTATACAAATATATGTCTGGAAGGGAACATTTATTAAAAAATAAACAGGCACCCTAGGAAAGTTAAGTTATCACATATTAGTTACCAACTATTAAGTACATACATACATGGAGTGCGGAGTCAAATATAAAACCAAAGGTGCCTCAATTAGCTGTTTTTAATTAATTATTTAATTAAATACCTGGTAAACATGGGTCACATATAAAGTTGTCTGGTAAGATCAGTTCAAGCAAAGCAAGGAGACTGGAAATACATCGATGTTACTACAGCTACTTTTAAAAGGTGTTTACCAGTTGTGCTTACTGGAAGCCAAATCCATTCGTATTGGTAATAGGCATTCATATTGCTCATTGTACACAAGTATGAACATTGCTATGCATGTTTAAAAATAAGTGTCCTAATATTCACAGTTGTTGCTGTGCTATTCATACATAAAAATACTGTCATTTCAAATAAAAGATTTTTTCAAAACATTTTACAAATTTTACATTATTTACAAATGCCAGTAATCTTTATTTTTACACAAGTATCAGAGGGCAGTTTTACTTAACTGGCTATGTATAGTATGTAACATTGCTAGATGAACTAGAAAAAGTTTAATCTACAGGTTTTGAAATACCTCAAAAATACTACAATTAGGAATCTTCCAAGTTGACACATTTTCAGGGTTCATTTTCTGTATTCAACTGATTTTCTTATAAAAGGATACTTTTTAAAGTTTTTTTTTACAGTTTACCAGCAGCCATACATACACACATGCATAATTATTTGCACTATAAATCCTAGACCTCCCCAACCCCTCCCCAAAGTGCTACGATTGACCATTTATTTTATTTAAAATAAAATTAATCTGAGATTATGTTGCATATATTACGTTCCAGCTCTACTGTAAGTTACATGTAGTTTAAAAAAGAAAAAGAAAAAAAAACCAAAAAACCAACAAAAAACAACCCAACCCTGACCTTGACAAAGAACCACCAAAGCTACTGTTCAAATGTCTACCCTGGACAATTGTGCTAAACAATTGCTAACATTTGGTTGAAGCAGTAAAACTCACATAAGGTATATACGGTTTATAAACGTAAAAAAGCTTTCCTAACTGTGCAAGTATAAAGGTTTCTTATGCATATTTAACTTTCTTGCATTATTTTCATAATGAAAAGGCATTGATGTTCAGATGTAACTAGCAGCACCCGAAGTTAACACTAATATGAAATGGCAAAATTTAGTCTTTTTGGATTGTGTCAGTCTTTGCTGACGTTAAATTACATATTCTTCAGTGTTACAAGACTTAAACAGAACTCTAAGGCCCTCCCTCTGACACCACAACACACAGCAGGTAATTTTGAACAGCCAGGGTTGCTGCTTTCTTCCCCAGCTGTCACTGAGCCACATGCTGGGCCTCAGAACAATTGCATAGTCCTGTGCACCAATTTAACTAACCAAATAAAAGCCAAATGAATCCTCCACTTTTGTTACTTAAAAAGTCAGGTTAAGAAAAGACATGGCAAATGCCAGAGCTGCTAAAACTGCAGGGCAGAGTGCTAGGGCAGATGAAGAGAGGAACCTCCGCTTTTCTAGCCCCTTCAGCCACTGCAGCCTAAATGGCTGCAGGTTCAGACAGCCTGATCTGCCAAGTACAGAACATGTGTGTGGGGGAGTGCTCTGCATAGGAAAAAGCATCAGTAAAATCAAGTGTCTGACCTCCATTAAACATTGCTTGAAATGTCAAGCTGAAAAGAGAGATAGGAAGTTGAATAAACAGCAGCATTGACTTTGCATGCAATAGTGGAATAAATCAGAACTGAACATAACTAGCAAATATATCTAAAACCTTACAAAATTAAACTTGCCATACTTGCATGGTAACTGTATTTTAAAATTAGCATCCTATTCTGCTATATCAGTTTGTAGTTTATGTGGTTAAATTTAATTTTAATAAGTTAAAGTATATATAGCTTATAGGGTGAACAAATCTGATAAATGTTTTAAAATGTACACTAATACAGAATAGGTGTATTAATAGGACATGCTATTTCTGCAGTTTCCTTGAATTCCCTTTGAAAAATCTTACTTAACACTTGCAAAACAGAACAACCGTTTCTAAAGAATTCTTGTTAAGGCTTTTAAAACAAAAACTTTGAAATTATCTGGGTAAACTTGTATTAAAGACACTTGAAGGTCTGTGAAAGCACATACTCTCAGAGAAGTCAGCTGAAAAAGCCCCATGTCACCTTCTACTATCTATCAGGACAAATACTGTTCCATTATAACTACATTTACTTCATTATGTATGGTAGCATATTTATCCCTTTTGTTAGTCTATGCATGTAGTGACCACAGTCCAAAGGAACGCTTTTTAAATTGCAACTTATTAAATTTTGTTACAAAAAAAAGTAACATCTAGTTGATTCCGCTGCTGTATGATGTATGCACTCAGAGGGACTGTTTTTAGTATAAAGTGTAAAAGACAAGCTGAGTAACAAAGGCAAGCATTAAGGCAACAAGAGTAACAAATCTAAGAACCCTAAGTTTAGCACCTCTCCTCCTTTGTTCACCTCTATTTGCATATTAATTTAGACAGTCATGAATCCAAAGTACAGTAAACTCGGTACATAGTCATCACACACTCTCTCAATGTCTGTGCCCATTTACAGGCCACATGAAATACCAAAGTCAGATCCAGAGATTCTTTTTTTAAGACTATCTACTGCAGCGTACACCTTCTACGTTTGCCTTGTACCACTGCTCAGATGTGGAATGCCTGGGCTCAAGAGCAGCATGGTATGTAGCATTCAGTTCTACTCCAATTGATGGGGTATGCTATTCTTTGTGGAAGCTTCCACTATCTGTGAAATACAGCTTGGGTCTCTGATGATATTTCATCCTGTATGTGTCAGTCATACAACTATCTACTGAAAAATAAGTTGTTAAGGATACACTATCATTTCCATCCACATAGCCAGCACTTGGTCCTGTATGATGAGATCCTGTCTTTAAAAAGTTTTCAGACAGAGTCCAAAAATCATTAACTGATAAGCGAGGTGGAGAATCTGGTTTATGAACAAACAGCTCATTCACTTGAAATGGCTCTTTAAGCCTTTGATCGTTTGTAAATATGCTTGCCTCTGATCCAGATTTTAAAGGTGTACCTGTTTGCCTCGACGTATTGTTTTGCAACACCTCTGTCGACTTTTTACTGGCTGCCAAGTTATTTTCTGATCCTAGAAAAGTATTCAGAGCATACTTCTTTGGCGGTAAAGGCGGAGGAAGATTCTGGTACGCTGCTTCAGGCACCCAAAGAGCATCCACCCTTCGGAGTGGGTGTCCGGCATACTCACTGTGAGGGTGAAACACCATGGGCCTTTCTGACAGGTTCTGTGGTACACAAGGTGACAACCCCACCTTGGGACCAAACATTCTTAGGTGATGAGGCTGCGGCTGGGAAGAGGAGTCAAAGTCGTCGCTCATCAGCTTCCTTACACAGACATTTTCTGTATAGGGGTGGGATATGCCATCTGCACCATATACTGGCACGCTGACCTTCTCTAACTTATCTGGACTAAGCCACTCTGAAGAATTCTGTTCACTTGACTTATTTCTGCTTTCTGACTTCACACCGTCTTTAAGAATTGGCTGTAGAGCTAACGATGGGAAAAGTTTCCTATTGGTCTCAGGCATTTCAGCTCTGAAATAGAAAATCACATAAGTATCCCTAAACACATATGAAAGAGCTCGTATAACCCAAGGATTTTTTTTTTCAAAAATAGTCTTGGTAACACTGCTTACATATTCCATCTGACTAGAGAACTGGAATCTGCTTAACATACAGCCATTTGATTAAAAGTTGTATTAAATCAAAGTTTCTTTCATTTGAAATGTAAAGTGCCCCAGAAAATGTTTGCAATAGCATCAATATCTGTAAGACAAGAAAAATTCTTTCCACATTTAAGACTACATCAAAAATGACCTCTGCTTTCTTCAAAACATCTGACTCAGACTGATACATCCACTTTTCAAATATTAGATATTACTTGTGGGTGCCAAATTTTTATTTAGATTCTTCACTTTTAGGAGGCACTGAGCACTTACAGTTCAAATTAGAAACAACTGGTATATAGCAGCAGCTTCCAAACAGAAATCACCTCTTTCTCCCCTTCCAGTATACTTCTCAAGATTTCATGGGGTTACTGCTCTAACCACAAATAAGTTAATCACTGCCCGTTGCAGTACATTAAAGGAAGAACATAAAACTATTGAACCCCTTTGCTCTGCTAAGATGGTTTAAAACAGTGTTAGCTATTTGATTCCATTGACAGAGAGAGCCTTTAGCCTTATTAATTATATAAAATAAAAAAAGGTGCTGTGTCAAAAATAGTCAATGTCTTAACATTTGAATGGTTAACACTGATTACTATCACATAACAGAATTTGTAAACTGTTACACAGTAAATTAACACTAGTATTAGTTACCTCTTTACTGGAGGACTGGGCACCTGCAGATATAATTCTGTTGGAGAATTAACATGAGGTCTATAGTTAACTTCTGAATTGACCCGGTCTTTCCTCAAGTCTGGGGGTAGAAAAAAATTCTTTCAAAATCAGCAGAAATACAGTCCAATTCCTTCTTTGTAATTCCTCAGATATTACAAAAGCAAAACACAACATAACAGGACAACTAATTCCTTTCAAGAGGTGACACTGGTCAAAATAACCATTTTGAAGACAATTTGTCACAGAAGGTCAAATCTTACATTCATCCAAAATAATCTGAAGGAAATGAGGAAATTTGTTGTTGTTTGGTGGTTTTTTGTGTTGTTTTTTTTTTTGTTATCAGAATATAGGCAATTATCTCAATTTAGAAGTCCTGTATTCATGTTTCCAAGATCATCTTAACATTTCATGTAATTAAAAGCAGATTTTGAAAAGCAGCTTTTTATGAAAGCATGTTTATTCAAACATCCAAAGTAATTTAAATTACAAAATAAAAACTATTTACTATTTCTGAAATTTCACATCATGTAATTATAATAAAATGGGATGAATATTGCAGGGATTAGGGGGTGGTTTTTTTTTTGTTCTTGTTTGTGGGTTGGGTTTGTGCTTAGGTTTTGTTGGTTTTTTTTTTTTTATTGAATAAATGCATTCTCTGAAACCAATTAAAACCAAACCTACAGCAAACTGTAATGTTCATAGAGATGCTGAGCAGACATACAGCACACTCAGTCATGTGCTCTAAACACACAGTATGAGTGTGCCAGGGCCAGCACTATTACACTCCAGAAGCTCCTTTTATTCATAGACAAAGAATCATTCTTTAAAAACACACAATTTCTGAACAATGCAGCTTCTAGTTAACAGTAAATAAAAGGAAGCACTGAAGTATCCATGTCAACAACACATAGAATAAAACACTCTCTTGGCAAGTGACAAGCAATGGTCTATTTGGAGACAAATATTCAAATCTTCCTGACGCAATGACTGGAGATTTATAATGAGCCACCTGCTCTGAAGCTATTCAAAGTCTTATTTTATGTATATCTAGACTAGATTCAGATAACTACTTAGTCTATTTAAAAAAAAACAGAAAATAAAGGCAGCAGGCATTGCCCAATTTCTAGTAGAATAATCCTGTATTCAGTATTTAGACAGTTTCCAATGGGGTAACTGTTCCACACTGTCATTAACACGACCGAAATTCTGTACCTATTCTTAAATTATGTAATCTTAGCAAGATCAAATAGTTTAATTTACTTATTTCCCCAAGTTTAAATAAAGTCTTGTAACTTTTGACTCGTGAACATACAAGTCAAAACCCCAACAACAGAAAAGAACTAAACTCTGGGTGATGCTGCTGGGCGATACTTGCTTTGAGGGTCAGTATCTGCTCTATCTTTAATTGACGAAAGACCAAAGATACTAAATCTTCAACAAACAAGACAGGCTGTAGAGGTTAACACAGCACACAGCACAAGAGACAAAGCCCCCACATGGCTTTCCTTTAAGCCTTTAAATGAGGAGGGGAAAAAAAAAAAAAAAAAGAAGTTAAAAAACCTTGCTATCCCAGCATGATAAGCAATACCACAACCTTAGGAAGGATACTTATGGAAAAATATAGTTACTGAATGAGCCTGTGTGAAACTTGCATGGGACAAGCAATTCATTTGAAAGAATGTTCAAAACTGTTCCAGTGACCCATGGCATTAGAACTAACCAACATTAGGTAATATTTCAAACTGAATTCAAACTACAGATTTTAATGATGTATAAACTGCTTTACTGAAGGAAAACCCCAAAAAGGCACAAGCTCTGACATATTATTTCCTGTGATTATTTCCAATTCAGTATTTAATTTCTATCCCAATGTTATGCTACAGTCCTAGGAATGAATTAGTTAAATAACTTGCTATATTAACAGTTCCGAAGCTAGTGTTTTTAACCTTCAGACTCTATTATAGGAGAGTACATCTACAGAGAAACCACAAATACATCACCCATACAACTGCGCCTTAATTCCCCAAACTGCCTGATGCAAAGAGAACAGATATTAATTCTATCTTTACTCCAAGCCAAGCTCCTAAGGAGCTCTCAACAGGCAGCAGCACAAGCTGGTCCGGAGGCGGCAGCAAAGGTCTCTGTCTCAGCAGGTCGCCGTCTCAGCAAAGGTCATCTGTCTCTGGTGTGACCACAGCACACATTCAGCCAAAGCTGCTCAGTGATACCAGGTGGTTTGTGCCTCCAGAATTCCAGCTAACTTAAAAATAGATGTGTTATTTTCTTTTCTGCTGACAGGATATCCATGCATGGTTAAAACCAGACGCAGATGCAATTGGGAATTTTGGCTCTAGGTTCATTGCAAACTTAAATATGGGACACACAAGCACTACGCTCAGCTGGTGACTGATATCCTTATCAATGGGTCATAAGAAGTTTACCAATAAATATAGGATAACTGTTTCCTGAAATACAAACCAATCTGCTCTGAAGATTTATGAACATGTATTTTCACATCTGAATAACCAATCTAGATTTTCAAAAGATTAACATCCATTCTATAGCCAACAGGTAGGCCAGAGAAGTTCTCCTCATATCTTCATTTACACATACAGAACATTTCCAAACATCTGCAAAGCTCAGTGTTATAGGGAACCAAATAAACAGGACGAACCCCAGCCCCAGTTTTCCTTCTAATATGTTTTAGCCCCGTGCTTCCTGTCCTTTTGATTATGTGATAATTATTTTTTTTCCCCCTAAGTTTCCAATAAAAAAGACAAGGTGTACTACTTAGAAGTATTTACAACAGAAGAAGTACCGTGGCAAATTCTTCTCTCTGAACCAAGATATTTTTCTGTATTCAGTTGACACGACAAACTTACTGGAAGCTTTGGAAACATGCCAGTCAAGAGTCATAGACTCACAGAATAGTTAGGGTTGGAAAGGACCTTAAGATCATCTAGTTCCAAACCCCCTGCTATGGGCAGGGACACCTCACACTAAACCATGTCCAGCCTGGCCTTGAACACTGCCAGGGACAGAGCATTCACAACTTCCCTGGGCAACCCATTCCACTGCCTCAACATCCTTACAAGAAAATAAACACATTATAACTTGTCCAAAATAGAATATTATCTTGGAAAAAAAAAAACCAAACAAACCAAAGCAAACCAAAACACAAAAATATAACACCAAACTAGTGACCATCTTTAGAAGAAAAAAAAAAAAAATCCTTATGTTCAAGAAACTCGTCTTTTGGAGCAACATTCAGTTGCAAAACATTCCTTATATACTCATCATTGCTTTTTTTCCATGACTTTAAACATCTGGAGAAAACTAAAATACAAGTTTCACTGGGGTTGTGTTTTTTTTTTTTGCTTTGTTTGTTTACAGGGTGGGGTGGCGCATATCTACATGTGTGCAAGCATTTAAATAAATTCTGAAGTGAAACAACAGTTGACAAGGACTAACCTTCCCTTCACTCTGACCTGGCTGTCTCAAGAAGTTCATCAGCTCTTAGTTTTAAAACACAGTTTTGAACCTTTGCATCATCTATTTTAGATGTGAACTTCTCACATGAATGAAGTGAATTGGAAATGTGAGAGTACTTTACATTTCAATCTTCATGGGCTGCTTAACTACATTTGGGAATCTTGAAAATTGTATTACGGGGGGGGGGGGGGGGGGTGTGGGGGTGTGTTGGTGGTTATTTTTTTTTTAACCAAAATCTTTAATCATTTAAAGACACTCCAAAAAAGCATTTATTTCTTTCTGTTTCATATTAAGTAAATTAAGTAGCTTCGTGCTTTAATTCTCTACTCTGTTCTTCAAACAGATCATATACACTGGCTGCACTATAAAGATATCAACTAGATTTTCCTAGGTATATTTGCATTATTTTAAATCATTACTATAAATGTATGGTTTTCCTAAGAAGATGAGTTTTCTTTTTGAGAATTTTGACTTGTTTGTGAGGTTTTCTGAAGTGACAAATAAACAAAGGCAATTTGGATTATTCTTTACATATTCACCAGAGCTTCAGAATGATTCTAGATTTCAGCTGGAGTTGTCTCATGCTATTGAACCGAATAGTTATTAATGGAAAAAAGTCTGGGTTTGTAATATTACAGAAACAATTTTGCATTTATTTTCAAGGTGGAGCAGTTTTAATTCCAAGTATATTTTCTTTTGAGATCACTGAAAAGGCAGCTTTTAATACTGCATCTTAAATAGGAGGCCAACAAGCACTTGGCTAATTTTAATCACAGTGCTTATTGTACTGACAAGTTAGCTCATGAATGAACTGCTCTGAGCTTTGGGGAAGGGGGCTGAATCTAGAAAACAGGGCTCCTAGGATTTAATTCCCCCTCCTCCCCTCTTAACCTTCCCCAAAGTAATGCTTTTTATTCAGTGGCAATATCATTAAGGCCTCTGTGCCTTAGGAATCAGGGAGGGTTGTAATGAAAACCACCAAAATCACTTCATGACTGAAAACGATTCTTAGTAGCTAGTACAGAAATTGCTCTGAAAATCCATTTAAAAGTTCTATGGCCCTTCACAACTTTGAAGAATTAGTCATCTTTCTTCAACTTGAAGATGTGAGGTTCAAAGTTTTCCTCTCTCACTGTTTATGCCAATGTTCTTTATAAACAAATTTAAAAAATAACCTCAACAGGTTCATCAAACTTCAAAAACACTACCTCATTAATATAAACTGAAGCTATTATATCTGCTTACTGAACACCCAAGTTTCCCTGTGAAAATCTGATCACACAAATTAGGGACTGGCCTTGCAGGACATTTGTTTCAGTACTACAGTTATTTATTATTTATTACCAGAGAAAGAAGCAGCCATTTGATCTGCATAACCACTGTGTGATCCAACATTACTATCTTTATAATGCTCTAACAATAAGTTTTATTCTCAACTGCTGAACTGACTTATGCAGCTCCAGTTAAAGGCAATGAAACAATAAAGCACTATTATACAAATGGTGGGCATAATTTGGATTTCAACATTATTTCCGTAAGAAACTTTTCCATACAAAAAACCCACTCAGAGATATTTTTTTCAAGTTGCCCTGAGAAGCTAACAAAGATTTCTTACATTCTGCTCTTCTCTCAGAAAGGATTAGGCATTTCTGTATTATTTTCTGGGAGGCCATCTGGTACTATCACTTAATGTTTTGTTCATAACATTCAGAGATATATAACATAAGGTAATACAACTAATACCTGTAAATGAGTACTGTCTGCCCTTGCTAAAGGTGTCCTGACATTCAGACAATCAAAAAGCCTGAGTCTAAAAACACCTGTAACCTCACACACTTGTGAAATTTCTTCAAATTCTTCAGGTATCTTTTCAGTCCATTAATCGCTTTATTCCAAAATACGCTCATATGTGAGAACTTGACATTTGATTTAAATACATACCTTTTTGTTACAAAATTATTCAAAAGTTAGTTACTGAATTAGAACAACTGAATAGATGGGATCTTATCATCAATGTTTTATGGTAACTCCAAGGATCACCTGGAATCTCTATACATTTTCTTGAAGAAAATGGACAATGCACATTGAAAGCTTTAAGTATACTGAAGTAAAGTACATGGTTGTCTCCAGAGATTGCTCATTATTAAGCTCAGACATTGTCCAAACCTATTTTTCATTCCAACGGAGTCCTTTATGCATTGTTTTTTTTTTTTTTTTTTTTCCTCTTTTTGCTACCCAAGTGTGGTATAAGTATAGTACAGAACTAAAGCAGAATCAATGTCATGCAAAGACAGATCTTTGCAATATGAATTTTGTTGGTGGTCTTTTTGCTTTTTGTTGTTGTTATTGTTGTCAAAAAACACAAATACAGAATTAGTTCTCTCTCCACAACCAAAAAATAATTTCAATAATTCCAGAAGAGATGAGTGGTATGAGACATACTCCCCTCCAATTTAAGTCTTAAAAGAAACTATATTATGCATTCTTTTCAAATAAGTATGGTATCTATAAAAATCAAAACATTTCCTGGGGAAGTAGCCTGATATTTATTGCACCTCTTTGTATAAGCCCCATTCCATTGTTCCAGCAGCAGTCGATAATAATTTTGGCTGGCCCCATGCTGACCTGTAATATTTACATGCCTAGGCATTTATCAATTTTATAAAACCCCAGACATATTACTATGTCAAAGGAAAGAGACTTCCTTATTACATGTGTTTCGTCCTGATACTGCTTCATATCTTAAAGAAAAACAAATGGCATCACAGTCCACCCAGACATTAAAACAAAAACAATAAAAAAATCTTCCTTAGTATTCACCAAGAAAGTTTGTGGAAATGCTGTTGGGAAAAACACAGGGAGGGAACAAAATTACTATCATTGTTCTTTTTTGTTTATTTTGGTCTGTGGGGTCAGGAAAGCAACATGCTTGCTAAAAACAAACCTTAAAACCAAAACATTAAACTGAGACATATGTTCTGAAAGCAGAACTTAACCAACAGAAATGGAGATGAACATTTAATAATTTCAATTGGATTAAGAAAAAAAAAGCACCAATTAAGGCCAGTGAAAATTGATTATACTGCATGTTTTACACCAGCATAGGGTCATCCAAAAATCTCACAATCACTGAATGATAGAAGGGTTTGGGTTGGAAAGGACCTTTAAGAATCCCTTAGTCTAACCCTACTGCTGTGGGCAGGGACACCTTCCAGTACACTGGGTTTCTCAAATCCCTGTCCAGTCTGGCCTTGACACTTCCAATGACAGATCTGCAATTTCTCTGGACCTGTCCCTGTGCCTCACCACCCTCATCATAAAAAAATTCCTTCCCAGTGTCTACTCCAAATAAACCCTCTTTCAGTTTAAAACTGTTGCCCCTTGTTCAGGTCACTACAAACCTCAGTAAAATCACCAATACCGGTGTTTTCATTTTTTGTACAGAGAACCTACACCAGCCAGTAGTAGTTACGCACCTGCCGCTTCCTGAGCGGGCAGTGGCACGTGACATACACAACGAAGGACAAACTGCTCTACCAACCTAGAGAGAAAATGCTTTGTAACAAAACACTCCAGAAGAAGACCACTATGGCAAGAAGACTCATTGTATTCTGATTATCTAATAACTTATATAAAAAAAGCTATGGCCTCCCAAAATGATACTTGTATTTTCCACACAAAAATACTGTATTTAAAACAGATCCAAGCACTACAAAGAAAAAAAAAGGAAAAAAGAAAAACCACTCAGTCTGTCACTTTGGTGCTAGAAGTCATGTGAAACAACTGTTTGGGAGGCATGTCATGCTTTTACATGACTCAGCACACTGAACGCTGCCACTGCTGTCTGAAAAGGAGATGCTAAGAAAGGGTAAACTCTCAAAATGCATACTGATGACCTAGCACCTACATAGGGAACTGCTCCTGCTGCTATCATCATAGCATTAAAAATTCTCTTTACATGACGGTGATGAAAAAAACCAACTCCTTTATTTGGGAACACATGTATCATGGCAGATAGCTACGAATCCATTTACACTGTACATCTACTCTGCAAGAAAGCCAAGAAATGGAATAAATTAAGGTGCTTCGTGGAACAGAACGCTTTAAATGCCCCTAAGAAAAGTGACAGTTATTGAACTGCTGCTCTATCACATTTCCATCAAAATAGCCCAAGATGGGGTATGAACACTTTCCATCTTTATCGATCAGTCTTAACTCACTGAAGAGGCTAAAAATGTGAATAAGAACAAAATTTGACATTACCTTATGCAGAAAAACTATGAATTACAAAAGACACATTAAGAATCTGTTCATCTCTTCTGTGATATTAGTAATCTAGTATTTAAATTTTGTTAGATCTAAATTGGTTTTAGAAAACTTATATAAGTATATTCCTTATATTTCATATACAAGTATAAGGAATAAGTACAAGGTACCTTATACAAGTATAAGGTGTACCCCTTATACAAGTTAAATGTCCTTACCATAAAAGTTTCTTCTCTGTTGTGTATGTAACTCATTGTCAGGTTTTTTGGTTGCCAAGTTCTGTTCACTGTAAAAGAAGCATACAATCAATTTGAAGGCTTAAATCAATGATGTATGATCACAAACTTTACTGCCTTAAGTGCATAAATGCATAAGAACTTTACCTATGTGAAACTGACTCTTGTTATCACCGTCACAATTTTTACTAATACATACAAACTTCACAGAAGATACACAGAACAGTAGGGGTGGCTCTTTAATACTTCAACACAACTGCCACATGTTAACAGTCTGTGCTGATAACAGAGAAATTTAGCATGACCTGAATACTTCAGTAAGGACAGACAAAAAACATACAGTGCAAGGCTGGAGTTCTCAGTTCATTCTGGAGACTGGACACCCACTCATCCCAGCCTTATTCCAGATTACAAAAGCAGGATACCGAAAACATAGCATCTAAAAAGCAAATTTTCTTGATGTGGGTATTACATCAGCCTGCTTAATAAAAAGAGCTGGTTCCCAGAGTTGTCAACAACAGAAAAATGACATGTCACCTGTGAGAAATAACCACCAACTGCACTTTTTCCCATTGTAAACTAAAGAATTTCATAAAAATGTCACAAAGTGCTTATTAACTGAGATCACCAAGAAAGTGTGACGATTTGAATACCCATTTTCTGTAGTGATTTTCAAATAGAACAGATACCACTGGGCAATTTCAAATTCATTTGCAGGTTTTACCTAAATTGTCGCTTTTATTGCGGCTAAAGATTACCACTCATGTGGTACTATACGGTTTCAAATTTATCATCAGTATCACCCACATCTGAAACAAATACATTTTTCAGCTTTAATAGTTCTATACCCTGAATATCTCAAAGTTAAACGTATCTTATTAAGACAAGCTCAAGTTTCCTAGAAATGCAAGCATCTCATCAGTATCAATATCCTAAGTATGTAATCTGTTAGCTAGCATTCTATCTTGCCCATTTCTCTACTTTGACATTCTGCAATTCATTAATACTTTGTTGTGACAACAAACATAATTCTTGCAATTGTCACTTGGGTCTTTCATTCATGGAGATTTTAATTTTAAAACTTTTTATCAAACTCAAAGATAACTAGAAAATTCCAGCAGCAAATCCAAGAGGAAAGGGGAAAAAGTGAAATCAGCAGATTTAGTATGTCTTGCTGGTTTACTTAAGTAAAAAGTATGCCTTACCAATCCAGATAGGGAGCTGACAAACACCCTGCCAATTCCTTCCTTCTCCAAGAGTAAAGCAGGGAAGAAGATACAGTGGCAATTTTTCAATTAAGATAAACAAAAGAAACTCTTGTTATTGAAAGCACAGAAAAACACGAAATATAGTGAAATAGGAAGAACTGGAAAAGAACCTATCAGAAAACAAAACACTTGATTTTTTTTTTTCTACCTTCTAAAAGAACTTTCAAGTAATTCCCTTGTATTTTCTGTTTTTATAAAACAAAGTATGAAAGGTTAGAGGAGAGCTTGTGGGTATTGCCAGTCAACTCCAATTACCACTCGTATAAAAAAATCTTTCTGAAAATTCTAGGAAGTCGTTTGTATTTTGATAAAGAAAATTGTTTTGTTTCGGTTTAAAATTTTTAGACAAGTCAGAGCCTTTTAATTTCCAGGTATATGCTGTTCTCTTTCAGCACATTAAAAGTTATTTTAATAACTTCTAATGAAAATATACATCCAAAATTTTTCTTAAATCTAGCAAACGTGTGACTAGACTTGGTCTCACAACTGTGCTTTTACATTTAATGGATATAAGTAAGATTTGAAATAAGAATATATGACTTCTAGTAGGAATTAAGTTTCACATGCAGTTTAAGAAACCCAGTACAGGCAACCCCATGTGGAAGGTTGATAACTTAATATTTCACAGCACCGCATTTAAGTTGGAAGGGACTTCTGCAGATCATCTAGTCCAACCCTCCTTGCTCAAACAGGGTCAGCTACAGTAGGCTGCCCAGGACCATGTCCAGTTGAGTTATGAGCACACCCACAGACAGACACTCCACAGCGTCTCTAGGCAACATACTTGTTACTAGCATACATCAGTTCTTAGTAAATTAATAAAATTTGGCTATTAACTAAGTTTTTGGACAATTTTAGTAATTTTACACTTTTTTTGGAAAGATTTCTTTCAAACAGGTGAATAAATTATCAAGTGATGAATATATATACCTGTTCTAGAAAACTGAATTTCAGAACAATGACCAGTAACTGTGTATCAGATTCACCTACTGCCATTCCCATCTCCTCGTCAGGGCCTGTTTGCACAACTGCTAAAGATACCACTTACGTAGACACCTGTATTCCATTACACATGGCCACAGTCGAAAACCTTCCAACTAAATAAGTGTAGCAATTATTTTAAATTCAGACACCCTGCCCCCAGTCAGGGATTAACAGTTCTGGCTCAGCACCATAACAGTGAGGCTCAGTGCCTTCCAAAGGGAACTAGTGTTGCAGACTCAGAGTGAACATAAACTTAACACTTAATTGTCCGCACCCTTATTTCTAGATACATTGCTAGCTTTCTACATACCTGACCTCAAGCATACGAAGTTACAAAGTATGTTATCTTGATTTTTTTAAAAAAATGCAAGCATTGTAACAACTTACTTTACCTATAAATACCATCCATGCAAGTTCTAAGAGCATTAGTGTTACCTGCAGGCAGCACTTTCTCTAATGTTCTTGACATCTGCTGGATTGATTCCTTCAATAACAGGTGAGTCTGGATTTGTAGATCCATTGCTGATATGATCACTGCTTTCATATCCAGATTCTGTCTTCTGATTTTGCCAGTTATCACCATGCATTTTTCTCTCTGTAAATCCTTTGCTTTTTTCAGCATTCCCTTTTCCTTCTGAATCCAGTGAACTCCGACTTCCTGTACCCTGTTTTGTTTCATCTTCATATATAGTCATTAAACCCTTCTGGATTTGGTTCTCTTTTGGCCAATAGCTAAAGCTTTGCTCCTTTTCATGCTTAGATTTACTGTTCGGATTTGCCTTGTGCTTTGGGCTATGCTGTTTTTTATCAGTCTCGCTGAAAATGCTGTCTACGTTCAGTGTCTCCCGCATAGGTTTCCAACCTTTACTTCTGCTTCTGCTGCTGATACTTCCTTTGTCCCTAGAGTCTTGACTGGTGTCTGTATCGTAGCCAGTGACACCATCAGTCCGGGTCCTTATCAATGGTTTCTCCCCAGCAGGACAAGCTTCTATTTTATTTGATCCAATCACTTGTACAGAAAGCTTTGCTTGGTGAGGTACACCATCATGCTTGTAAGAGCCTCTTCCCTGGCTGCTGTGTATGCGCTGATCAGCACAGTGTCTGTTTCCAACTGAAGGAGACCCCAAGTTAACACTGGCACGATCTTCCCCCATCAAATCTTAGAAGGTAAAAAAAAAAAAAAAAAAAAAAAGGAAAAGAAAAAAGCTCCATTAAAGTCCATTAAAGTTCTCATTAATTTAATTTTTAACTGATAGTGTAATAAACATAAGTACTGAAACCTGAAACAACATCTCAACAAATTCGGTACATTTGTTTTAGAACACCAAAAATTGAGAAATTCTAATCTTACAGGTATGTTCTCCTCAAGGAGATTAAAATCTGCATATATAGTATTGATTTTTACAGATATTTAACCCATCTGGTCATATTTAGAATGTACCTCTTTGTCTCCCAGACTCTTTCCTTGGTCCTCTGTCTGCATCTTTCCGTAAAGATGAGAAGTTTTTCATATCAGCAGCTTTCTGAGCACACTCTCTGGATATGTCCTTCAGCTTGTCCTTTTGATTGCTATAAGCTAACTTAGCTACAAAAAATATTTTTGTCAAAGATCATTACTAAAAAGTTATTCATCATCAAAACATGTCAATACATTTACGTACCATGTTTTTAATAGTACTCCTACTTAAAAAGGCTAATTAATTACATAACACAAATTAAGAAAACAAGATATACAGTATATACACACAGGTATCTCCAAGTACTCCACCCAATGGAGCTAACGAAAGGAACCAAAGCAGCATAACATCAAGTATGTCTTAAACACCTCTTACTAAAACTGAATTCTCAAAGCATATACCACTCGAAGCATATGCTATTTACACCAAATTTTACGACTTATACTAAAATTACACTAAAAAAATAAATGTCAGTTTAATCTTGTCTGAACATAAGAATCATAGAATGGCTAGGGTTGGAAAAGACCTTAAGATCATATAGTTCCAACCCCTTGCCATGGGCAGGGACACCTCGCACTAAAACACGTTGCTCAAGGCTCTGTCCAACCTGGCCTTGAACACCGCCAGAGATGGGGCTTTTATCACTTCTTTGGGCAACCTGTTCCACTGCCTCACCACCCTCACAGTAAAGAACTTCTTTCTGTACCTAACCTGAACTTCCCCTGTTGAAGTTTGAACACATCACCCCTTGTCCTACCACTACAGTCCCTAATGAAGAGTCCCTCCCCAGCACCCTTGTAGGCCCCCTTTGATACTGGAAGGCTGATATGAGGTCTCCATGCAACCTTCTCTTCTCCAGGCTGAGCAGCCCCAATTTTCTCAGCCTATCTTCATATGGGAGACGCTAGTTTTACTTTTATTAAAACAGTGGAGCTTATGAAAAGTGGAGTTTATGAGGAGAAATAAAAATCTTTCTGAAATGGTAAATACTGACCATTTTTGAGCCATAATTCCATTTCAAAGCATTCTGTTTCAAAAAAATCTAGGTATTCAACAATAAATATGGAGGAGAAATATCTCAAGAGAAAGCAGCATCTCTCAGCCTAGAAAGTATGGGAACTTGAGAACAAAGGCACTCTGACAAGCAATGCAGAAGTCACGGCTTCATGACTTCTTATAGCTTCATTTGCTTGGAAGTCTAATGTACAAAGAGAACACACTTCAACAAAGGACACCACTGTTTTGCTATTCTTTCCAAACATAAGGTGAAGTCCATTAATATACAGGACTACAAATAATGCTGAGTATCACAATATTGCTGGGGAACAGCATTCTTTGAATACTGTGGTTTTGTGATCACAGGCTATGTGTTCCAAAACATCAGTCAGGTTTAAGTTTCTAATATGTCTTTTCATAAATAATATGATTTGAAGGTATAATGATGACTGAGAAATAGATCATGGCCTCAAGAGCCACTTCAGCAGAGGAATAATCAGGGGTATTAAAAAAAATTTTGCATTTACAGTTCTCAAGAAAAAGTAAACATTCCATGGCAGGTATCACTTAAACACTAGCTGCGATTCCAAGATTCATTCAAGTCAATGATAGAATTCTATTTTTAGAAACAGTTCTAGTCCAGATGCTAGCATACATCTGGAATGCTATCAACTGAAGTATTTCATAACAGAATACATTTTGTTTTTTTTTCAGGGACAGGAGTAGGTAATACATACCTGCACCTCTACCACCACTAGCTTGAATATGGCTTCTATTGAATGCTGAATTATCTGGCTGAAGTTTTTTATAAACCCTTTGATTAGTGGGGTCTCCGATTCCATTCTCCTTCATTTGGTGTGATTTAGGAGCAGAATGCTTTTCAAGTCCTATCAAATAACATAATTACTTTTAGAAATTAGGAGTTGCTAATTCAAAGTTGCCAATATCTAAATTAAAAAAATAAGAAAACTTTTTAATTGTGGATTAGAGAAAACCCCCATCAGAAAACCACACCCCATTTCAATATGGTATACAATAAGGTTCTGCAGTACTTTATATACTGCCATATTTATAGTGGTACACTACAGTGAAATACGGTCCTCAATTCTTTCTTCCCTGAAGCAGTCTATGTCCAATTATTACTCATTATGTAAAGAGGAACATGTCAAATTCAACTGGCTTTTTATGTTACGTTTAATATTAAAAAACGAAACATAAACCCTTCCCCAAAAAAATACTACCACCACAAAGTCCAAGCCCCACCCCCCCAAAAAAAAAATCCACAAAATAAATCCACAAAACCCACAAACTACAGAACCACAGAACCAACAGAACTGGCTTCTTACATAGAGGCCTATGCTTTATGAATCCTGGAGAAAAGTTTCCTGCAGCTCCTCCTGATTTTTTCCCAACATTCTGACTTGTGCACAAACACACATGCTCCAAACAGATCTTTCTATGGGTATGAAGCTTTTTCTTTTGTATAGCATTTATCTTTTTATAGCATTTTTGAAGGTATTTTAAATGTATCAATAGACACATAACATCTGCATACACAAATATACATTTTTCATCTGGAATTTCTGAAATTATTAGAAAGTAGCTATGAACAATCTACAAAGCAAACTCTATTCCTCATTATCCATGAGTCTCAATTTACATTCCTTTATCAGACACAAAAGAAACAGTTCTAGTATTGCATATATACACTAATCTCTTTTCTTTTGAGACCTTTTAGATAATTAGGAACTGAAGTATTTAAGAACAAAGCAGCTAATTCATTACATTCTCCTTTTTAATCCCCATTTCAGAAGTACAGTTAATACGGCTACTGGAAAAAAAAAAATGTTGAAAACAAAAATCTTAATTACCCAAGTTTTTGCTATTTCCTGCTGCTGCTTTACATTGAGACCAGTGAATAATCTGCTTTGGAGCATCTTCTGGAGATACAGCTGTGCCATCTGGGTTAGCATAAAACAGCAACAGTGGCTGAAAGTGACATCGAATGCACCGGGAGACCACATCTTTCCATTTTGTTCCAATCTAAACAAACAAAAAAAAAATTAAAATAATCCAAACAACAAAAAAAATATCAAAACAACCCCCCCAAAACTTTATCATCATCATTGAACCCAATTATGGAAAGAATAATTTATTAGCAATTCTAATGCCTAATTCCAAAGGTACATTAAGATTCAACATTCGTCACAAGAGTTTATGTAAATTGCAGAAAAAAGCCAGAACCTGTACTACATGGGCTAACAACCACATCAACACTGTGAATGCTGCTGCCAGTAATAAGGGCTTCTTTTTCAGTAAAAGAAGCACAAATATGATTAACTGTAGATAAATTCATTAATATTCTGAAATAGTTGGTATTTGGAAGGCAGAACTGGAAAATAGTGAAATCAATTCTAAAAATCTGTGAAACTCATTTACAAAACTAAAAGTTAATTTTATTAGAGATATTTGTTTCTCTTGTTTCAAGTCTTGTGTCAGAGAACATATTAAAGTAAAGATCATGAAATTGGGTAGCAGTAAAACAAATATTTACCTCTTTTACATTTGCATCATCAAACAGCACCCATTTGCAACTCTTGGTGTGAAAGGCAAAGGCACAGTAATGTCTGCTTGTGTAGCAAATCATTCCCACTAGAAAAAGTTCACTATTTTTGGCATTTTCATCTGTAACTCTATAAAACAGCTATAAAGATGGTTATATATTTCAAAATGTGTAAAACATTTAGCCTCAGTTTTCAAACCTACTACTGGCATTTCAGCGTAACAATTGGTATCAAATACACTGTTGCATTATAGAATTTTTCATCAGTAAAATAATTATTTTTGTACTTATTAGATCTATTTTAATATTTATTTTTGCATAGTTCAAAGGGTAAAACAACAATGCTTTGAAATAATTCCACAAATGTCAAAATGTCAAATGGACATAATATTTCTAGATTTTCAACTAGGAATTCATCTACATTAAATGCTGTACCTAGGCACAAAAACTATACTTCTGAATGGACTTTTTCCTCTCAGACACTAAGTTAAACAGCACATTATAAAATGGTGAAAGTAGACATGAACTTTGAAGTTTAATTGTGCTTTTCAAAAAAAAAAGTATAAGTTTATTTTTACTATATTTACATATACATAATACACATGTAAAATAAAGATCTAGAATGAGCAAATAGTAAGTCTTAGAACAGATACCCCAGGAAGATAAAGTTGTGTTGCCAGATTCCGCATAACCTCTTCTGTCAGGTCAGAGTGTTCTGAATCCCAGACTAAACCAATTGTGACAATCTCAGGACAATTCATAAGAACACGGCGAATTTTTATTTTTTGACCACAGTTACTCTAGAGAAAGGGAAAAAAAATATGTGATGGGAGGGAAAACAAAGATGTTGAAAAAAATGGAAGTCCAAAGTTGAGTTACTAGACAAGAAATAGTGCAATAATACAACTCTACAGCTTCCCAAATTATGCACTCAAATTCTCCAATTATGGCGTTTGTTTCTAACAATTTAAGGATAAAATTCATGATAAAAAAAACACAGTCTGATGAAGACTACAGCTAAACTTCCACATCCAATCACCACCTTAAAACAGAAACCTCCAAAACATCTAAGTCAACATCACATTTTCTCTTTCGTTCCTCATCCATTTAATCATTCAAGCTTAACTCTGTGTTCTTGTGTACTTTTCTATGGTTCCTAAATTAACAGTATTTATGCAGAGAAAGAGATATGTTACATAGAATAAGCGAAAAGAGATTATTTTTGTCAGCAGAAGCACACAATTCTTTCAATTAAAAATTAATATTGTTGGGCTGTCAGTGTATATGAACTACAGCAGCTTCACTCCAGAAAATACACCTGTTCCAACTAACCAGGTTGAACATGAACTGAGGAATAAAACACAAACCTAATAACTGTCTAAACAGGCCACTCGCACCTACATACGATGTTTATCTGTAACCGGAACAATACAATATAAATTTAAATAAAATAGAAATTTATTTTTTTTCCCCCTAAGTTGGGCTGTGTAGAAGTGGCCACAGGTAATCCTACTTTTCAGGGAATACTTTAGTCCAATGTATTATCTTAGAAAGTTGTCCCTTGTGTCTTGAAGTAATGCAACATCTTTGGTTACTTACAGGACAATTTCTGTAGTCATCACTAGTATTCGCTGCCTGCAGCAGTTCCGCAAACATTTCTGGCTTGAGGCGTTCATGCCTCTCCATCATTCTTTCTACTTCATTACTGTTAAAAAATAAATGGAAATAACTGTTGATATCCTTTCTTAAGAGTTAAAGAGATTTCAGTCAAATCTCAACTCTATCTTTCAACTAAAAAGGAAAGATAAAGTGATAACACAGTAGCAATACATTTTGTCAAGTTCTCTCTAAATCTTGGTTTTGAAATTCAAATGTTATTTTTGGACCATATCTCAAATAAACATTTTAACAAAGGAACACACATCCATTTTTAACAATTACAGCATTTCTCTGGTATGCTTTGCTTATTCTTGAAAGGGTGTATATAAAAAACGATATACAAAAATAAAAGCTCTTACCACAGGGCTGTGGTAGAAATATAACGCACAAATTCCGTAAAAGGCAATGGGTCTGATGATGCTCCACAAGTATGACATACACACTACAAAAATAAAAATACTTTTTATTTACTCAGGACAGTGGAAACCAATTATTTGTTAAAGAAATCAAATAAAGGTCTGACCTGTTCGTACAGTGTCATAGCAAACTTCTGATGAGAAATACAGGATTTTGAAGTGCACATATCTGTTTCACTGTTTGGTACCAAGTGAAAATGGATCCTCTCAAGGATGTTTTCCTAAATAGAAATAATAATGTAAATATAAACTCAACTGGTGAAGTCAGAATATAGGAGCAACATTAAAATTACAGTTTAATACTCCAACTACTCCCCTTGGCTCCAAATAGTCCATCTATAAGTCTAATGTGTATTTAATAACCCTTCCTATTCACAGTCCAATGAGAATTCTCTTCACCTTAAGGTTTCCATTCATTAACAAAACAGCATAAAACAACAGTTATGTACCTGTTCTTCCAGAGTGCATTCTTCTTTGGAGGAAGTGAATCATCAAGAAAAAATTGAAAAGCTGTTCTTACAGTAAGATATGATATTAATGTCATTGCATGCAATATCTGAAATGTTTTTTTAGATTAGGCCTCTGTCTCAGTTCTTCATGTTTTTATGTTTTTCTGTATGCATGTGAAAACCCATCTAGCAGGTAGGTATCCACCTGTGGATACTCACATGAACGTCCAAAGCTGAAAGTATTCAAAGTAGCAACTATATCTTCTGTCCCTCAACTTTGTGCCTGAAGGTTAATAGTGATATATTTTTTCATAGAATCATGGAACCAACTAGGTTGAAAAAGACCTTTAAAATCATCAAGTCCAACCATTACTCCAGGACTGTCAAGACCACCACTAAACCATTATCAGTGAGGGCCTTATATACATATTATATACATTACACTTCCACAGATGGCGATTCCACCACTTTCCTAGGTAGCCTGCTCCAAAGCCTGACCACCTTTCTCCGTGAAGAAATTTTTCCTAATACACAATCTAAACTTCTCCTTGCGCAGCTTGAGGCCGTTACCTCTTGTCCTATCCCTTGTTACTTGGCAGAAGATACTGACACCTATTTCACTACATAACCTCCCTTCAGGTAGTTTTAGAGAGTGTTCAGGTCCCCCCTGGAGCCTTCTCTTCTTCAGACTAAAACAGTTCCCTCAGCTGATCCCTGTCAGACTTATACTCCAGACCCTTCACAAGCTCCGCAGCCCCTCTCTGGACCTGCCGGCACCTCAATGTCTGTCTTGCAGCGAGGGGCCCAGAACTGCACAGAGGATTTGAGATGCAGCCTCACCAGTGCCAAGTATGGGGGGATGATCACTTCCTGGCCCTACTGGCCACACTATTTCTGATACAGGTCAGGATGCTGGTTGGCTGCCTGGGCACAAGCTGGCTCATGTTCAGCTGTCTATCAGCACCCCCTGGTCCTTTTCCACCAAGCAGCTTTCCAGCCACTCTTGCCAAGCCCGTAGCAGTGTATGGGGTTGTTGTGGTTCAAATGCAGGACTCAGCACTTCACCTTGTTGAACCTCATGCCACTGGCCACAGCCCATCAACAGAGCCTGTCCAGATCCCATTTTATTTTAAATGATCCCATTTTTTTTAATGCTGAACAATTTTCATAGTCTAACAAAGGACTTCTTAGAAAGGCCTCTTTACCAGTGTTCTACACGATTTTCAGCAACAGTAATGGCTCATGTTTTTCAGGGAGACACTTCATGCAAGAGTCAAGATCTTCGTGTATTTGTTCATTCTTGGACAAGAAAATGAAAATATCTTCTGCAGAAGACTTTAGAAACAAGATGGCTAGTTGCAATGGGATACATTTCGATAACTGATGAAAGAACTCTTGGAGGAACAGTCTATATATTCAAATCCATAGACACCTCTTCTCCCTCGAAGAAAACCCTTCTCTCCATTCATGAACTTTTAGCAATGACTGAGAGCTCATCATCCTCAGTGACCTCCTGCAGTAACCATATTTCACATATCCCTCTGCCCAAGAGAGTTAGGGAGTATGGAGCAAATTACTCTACCCCACATTACCAGACACTTAACTCCATGTGCCTGTTCCCCTAAACTGGCATAAAGGAGGTTTGTAGTATTACATCACTTGTATCCTACCTGTGAGCCTGGAGCGACAAAACAAGCAGCCAGCTTGGCATTCACAAATCTAACATAATTCTACTCAGCTATTACAAAGAATACTTAACGAAGCATTCTGCTGCATCATCCATGAATCCAAGCTGGAAACGCTGTTCATCCTTAAAACTTTCTGCCAGGGCATGTCGCATATTATCTGATGGGAGTGCTTTTTCTCGACTGTGTTGAAATTGTGAAAATATTGCCTAGAAGGAAATACGATTACTTAGCTTTAGTAGTCATTTGACTAGACATTATAGTTCTACAGAAATACACCAGTTCTTACACAGCATGCCTAAGCAGCAAATATTGTAAACGTTTATTAATCTGTGCAACTTTAGAAGCTACCACTTTATCTTAAGGCTACATAGGTTCCCTGTTCTGTTCCATATTCCATTATAATAAGTTATGCTACCAAACTTAACTTAGATCCAATAGGAAAACAACATAGAAGCATATGGAAGTGCAAGTGATTGACCCCCAGAAGCAACACAAGCCCTGGTCCATAAATGTACAGCTTTTTTAATGCTATTTCTGGAATAGTGGTTCATGCATACATATCTCATCTTTACAGATGATGTGCATTTCTTGAGGCATAATGTAATGCCACTCAGATTAGTTTAAAGCCCACCGCTTATAAAGTAACAACTACAGACAGGATTGTATCGTTATTTAAATTATGGATATGCAAAAAACCTCACATAAATTAGATAGAATGCTTATAATCCTTGCTCAGCTCTCTGCTGAACCAGTGCACACAATACAAACAGAAAAGGTTAGTATCTGCAGATCCAGAACATGAGGATAAATTGCACTTGATTTTTAATTAATTTCCCAGAAGAGGTAGTTGGCTGCTACTACTCTTTTTGGCAGAGATATGTATGCAAGTGGCCTTATCATTTAGCAAGTAAGGGAAGTTGATTTTGAAAAAAAATGGAATTTAAAAGACCTTAAACAAATGAGAAAACATTTGCAGATATTAAAGGGTGTATTCCACTGTCAAGAATTTTAAGCCAAAATTTGGAAAAAAAAAGAAGAGAATAAACACAAAACAAATAGAGAGAAGCCATGTGAAATATAAATAAAGATCTGCATTTTTCACACAGGCCTTAATTAAAAAACAACCTGTTGGACAGAAGGCAAAGACACAAGAGATAAGCCAAGTTTCAGTGCTAACACAAAGTAGTGTTTTAACCATGATTCGTTCCAGGGTGTCTGTCAAATATTTAAACTTCCCTCCATAACAAAAAGCATGTACTACTCATAAAAATTACAGTTGCTATCTCGTGTAAACATTCAAAATTAAGTTTTAAACAGATCTGATAATACAAGTTAACTCTGCTTTTAAAACATTTATCACTTCTCTTTTTTGGCTGGTAGGTCATTTTTTATATGCAACAGAGCCTTACATGTCCAGATTTAAAAAAAGTACAGATAAGCAGTTATGCAGATACGTATGCTCATTTTAGTGGCCTGCATTGTCCAAGTCCCAGTGTTATCCAGAAAAGAAAAGAGCATATTGAATTTCTGAAAGAAAAAGATAAATGGATTGAACTGAAGGAAACCAGAATTTATTGGCTATGCAGTTCACAGGAAAGGCCAATTTACATAAAATAACATCCTTTTCTGGGGAACAAGAATGGTTAAAATAGCCCAAGACCACAAAGAAAAAAAAAAACCTAGCCAAAACCCCACACTAAAACCAGAAAACAACCCAAGTTACCAAAATGCATCTTCATCCAGTATATACACTGCATGAAAATCAAAACACCATAGGTTCTGAACATAGAACAAACAGAAACACTCAACCAGTATCTCTAAAAAGCCAAGAAATAAAAATAAACAGTTGACATAATGACTGAGGACAGATACTTCCAAATGTGTTAACTACGATGTTTTGAGTTCAGTACCTAGGCTACTGGCCATGGAGTTATAAAGTGTTCAAGGCCAGGCTGGCCAGAGCCTTGGGTGACATGGTTTAGTGTGACATGTCCCTGCCCATGGCAGGGGGGTAGGAACTAGATGATCTTAAGGTCCTTTCCAACCGTATTCTATGATTCTATACTATTAAAAAAAATAACTAATTCCATTTTAACCAATTTCAGAACAGGCAGCAATACCACTGTTTAACAGCATTCTTGGGAATTGATCAGAATAGGAAGACTGTCCAGGCAACGCAAAATATTCAGGTACAGTAAGCTGTTTAGACAAATCACACACGGAGATGCATAATGGCAGTAAGCAATCCCTCAAGAACAGATACTTGAAAGAATAAAGAAAATTTAAAGTCCTCAATTACAGCTGCCTTATGAAGCAGCTGAAGCTAGTGTACTGCTTTGGAAAGTGACTTCAAGTGATGCAAACCTTAACCTTCTTCATACTGGAACCCAAAAAAATACAGGAAGAGAGAGGACATTAAGGTACAGCAAGTGGTATGTTCTGCTTGAAAAAAAAGCAGCACCTGGTCTTCACAAGCGCACCCTTAGAATAGAGCAATTCCTTACTAACAGGTTCAACTGCAACACACCACACTTCCTTCTTCATGTTTGAGCACACTGAAGTGACTACATTATTTTTACTATAATTTCAGCTATATGATTAGTCATTAAGACTATGTAGTGTAACACACACATTCCAGCAATTGCCATGCACCAATCCCTCTTCATTTCTTAAAGGTGGTTACAGCGCAACTTGGAAGACTGTGTGTGAACTTCATATGTAATATCGGTCAAATCAAAAGATCATAAAATTTACTATGTATTATATCAGATAGAGACATGAATCTCTGGACGCACAAAACTCTAGGAAACTGAAGATATAATCCCAAGACTGACACAGATTTTTTTCTGAAAACACAGGAATGCCTGAGTTATGATCTGGACTTTATGTACAAGTAATACATTTCAGTCTGTGAAACTCCCTAAGAATAAACTCGAAAATACTTGGGTTTATTCTCACCTACAATTTAGCATCATCAAAAAAACACTTCCTCAGTTAGCTACATTTTCAAATAATGTTTTCCTTTTAAGCTCCCTACAGATGAACAATTCCCAGTTCTGTATATTGCTATATCTACTACTGTATTTAAAGAACATTCTACAGCCCTGTATAGGAACCCCAGAAGTGTCTTTATTTTCAAATTGCAGTAAAAGTAGAAAGCACATACTACTAAAAACATACCTGTGTTTCCTCATTGGTATTTATACCCAAATGAAAGAGATATGCTTGCAGCTATTTCCCTAGTAACTGCAGACAGCCAAAGCAGTAAGAATATAACAGAATTTGACAGACTTCAGATGAGTTAACAAAATGGTTTGAAGCTAAGTTTTATGCGCTAGTAAAGATATGCAGATCTGACTTACTTTCTACACTAAACACAAAAAAGGTACCAGCTTTCATTAGTTTTCCAGTACTACTACCTTCCTTTCATTACTTCTAAACTGAACAATTATACTCTCCACCATCATCATGAACTACAGAATAAAAAGAATCTTGAGTACTTAACAGACAGTAATATAGTTATTGTAAAAGAACTGTTTTCAAACACTACAGGAAAGAACAAAAGCATACGTACATAAAAATATCTCCAAGAGGATAGCTAGAAATTTTCAAGTAAGTCTGTCTTTAAATAGGAAAACCGTTTTATGTATAAGCAGACAAATTTCTGTACTGTAAAATACCTTCTTTAAACACAATATTTGTTTCAAGTATCCTTAACTCTAAATTGTATATTCACACAAGAATGACTTAGTCAACCAGACATATACATGACAGGAATATAGATTTGTGACAATTACTTATTTTTCCCCTCATTTTGAAAGATAAGTCTTCCAAAAATTATTCTTTACCTTCAAAGCACAAAATATGCACGCATCTCCCTGACACACATGTCCAGTTAAACCTCTTAAACTTCGTCGAAAAACGTCAAGCTGCCACAACACCTATAAAAATAAAGTTTCACAGAACAGAAGTAATGAGTTCTGAAAGTTCTATGTTTAAAACAATAACATACAGTAATTTATTTTTTGTTTGTTTGGGGTTTTTTTGATTTCATATAATGTACTACTAGAGCATCATACTGCTACAAGAATTATGGTCCTTTTCCATTAGCTTGGTGAATAGTGGAAATGCAGTTGCATTTACCACTCAAAATTTAGATCTGTTTAAACTTTGTGAAACAATGGCAGACCATGTGTGGAAAAAAAGGTGAAGCACTCTTATGGAAACAAGTAGCAAGCTAAACTGTGTACAGAGATTCTAAGACTTCTTACGGCTTTACAAAAGAAGAAGGTAGCTATGGTTCTCTTTCTCATTCCCCCTCCCTCCTTTCGTACTTTCTTTCAAATAAAGAATAAAAAATATGGAAACTGAACTGCTGGGTAAAATGCAAGCATTATTTTGGGTTAAACCTATACTACATTCTTATGGTCTGTTACTAGAACAATTGCTGTAATGTATTTGTTTTTCCACATATCAAACTAACCCTGGGGCTTAATCAGGCCTGTTTCTACTTTTTATTTGTATAAGGGTAATGTCAGATTGGCTACACACACTACTTTCAGTAGCTGACGTCTTAAGTACATAATCTGTGCAGTAGTTCAGAAAGCTGAGAATTAAAAAAAACCCACAAACTTCCTCTTCCCCTTCAAAAATAAATTCCAAGAGGCACAGTAACAAATGCATATCCAGGTGAAAAACCTCAATCCTATCTATAAATATAAAATCTAAAACTAATTAGGATGCATTTGAAAATTAATATCTGAAACTCAGTTCTAAAGGGTGAACGTAAGTTAGAAGCAACACATTCCTCCTTGCAAAACAGCAGTCACCAATCAGCCACTGCTTCACAAACAGCAATAGGATGTGAAGTAGTAGGATTCTCTGAAACTATAACTAAAAATTATTTAGAATTTATTTTTAGGTCACTCTAAGTGAAAACAGCAAAACTGCAAGAGAAAATAGGTCAGACTGTTCCCACTGAATGTAAAACAGCAAACTCCTTCTACTAAATCTATTACATATATTTTAAGTTTATGCAGTTGCTATACACACCACATACAGATCTTTCCAATTTCCTATGTTTAAATCCATACTGTTTTTAAGAACTAGAGTGTTGTGGTTTTCTTTTGAAGGAAGCCAATGCAGCTATTTATAGCCCTTGCCAGTTTGGTAAATAATTTTGTACAATTTGATAACAATTAGGTCCAAAGTTTAAGCATTACAAAAAAGTACTTTGTTCTGCTCTTTATTTACAGAGTCTAGAAACTTGCTGCTGTTAATTTCCAAATTTAAAAAAAGACTACAATATAAACTTAGTTATTCATGGTATACCAATTTGCAGACTGTATAAAGACTAGCATTGCTCTGCCAGAGAATTAAGTAGATCCCTATATTCCCTGTCATAAGCAGGCTTGTAAAATATCAATTTTTCACCAGATATTGTCACTATTCCCAAGACATCTGAAGAGCCACCATTTTTTCAATTTCTGCTCAGAGCAGTATGTAAACAAACACATGCAAGAACTTGACAAGTAATACATATGCATATAAACAGTAAAAGAAATCTAAATCACATTTCTTTGGTATCAAATTTATCTCCTACTCTAATTCATAGAATCATAGAATGCTTAGGTTTGGAAAGGACTTTAAGATCATGTAGTTCCAAACCCCTTGCAACAGGCAGGGAGACCACACACTAGACCATGTTGCCCAAGGCTCTATCCAAGCTGGCCTTGAACACTGCCAGGGATGGGCCATTTATCACTTTGGGCGACCTGTTCCAGTGCCTCACCACCCTCACAGTAAAGAACTTTTTATATCTAACCTGAACTTTACCTGTTTCACTTTAAAACCATTCCCCCTTGTCCTATCACTACAGTCTTTCCTGTTAGAATCAAAGCTTTCAGCTATACATGCATCTTCTGATATGTCCCAGAACAACGGGCTTGTGCTAATTTCGAGAAAAGAGTATTTTAATAAAAACAGTGTCCTATTCAATACAAATAGTAGTACTGACTGCCCCACATTAAAAAATATCTCAGATTTTGATAGGTAACAAACTTATGTTTGACAGAAACATTAGTTTAAAAATTCAGCAGCAAGTTTTAAAGTTAATGAGTCATGAGTTTCCAGATACAAAATGGAAGTATTTCTGATATTCTTAAAGCATGCAAACAAAACAACACTGTAATCTTTTGCAAAATTAAATACTTAATACTCAATTTCTTGAAATTAAATATTAAATATGATTATTTCCATGGAGTAGTCTTTTCTACAGTTGCCACATTTCCTTCCTCCCCTTGCCTTAGGAAAATCGATTCCACACAGACATGCTTTTCTGTCTCACTTGGAATCATTAAGAAGTTTAACCAAGAACTGAATTTAACACTATTGAAATTTCCTGTAGAATACACATACTGCAATATGAATTATAAGAACAGCATTGCCAAAAGAACACTTTCCCTACTGTGACCATCTAAGCTGCTATAAAAGCAAAACTGTTAATAAAACAAGTTGTTTTCTTACCTGAACAGCACTATTAAGAAAGCAGCTGTTTTGTCCTGGTTCATTTAATAAGCCTTTTGTAGGGGCCAGGGACAGTATACTTCCAGGCTGATAAACTCTTCCAAGGTTACCCCCAGGTTTTCTTAAGAATTTCACCCATGCCATTATTTTTTAGTCTTTGTAACTGCAATATTTACACTTAAATAATTAAGGGTACGATGGGTGCAAGGCAAAGAAGAAGGTCCTATGAGAATTACTCTAAAATCATGGTGTTCCATTCAGCTCTATACAACAGTAACCAGTCAGAGGTTTAAGTCTGTTTCCAGGAGCTGCTGTCAGCCATCTACCACGATCAGTGTCTCAGTCAAAATACAGATGTATAAAATCTTTAACTCTCAGACTTAAAGAAAACCAAAAGGTGTCCAGTTAAGTTTAAAACGTGTGAAAAAGTTATCAGAAGTTCTTATTAAGCAAATAGCACAGTAACTGACTTCTCCTTCCAGGGATATCAATTAAGTATTCCTATAAATCACCAGCTGTATTACATTTAAAAAATGGAAAGTTCTTAACAGTAGTTATATTCCTGTTCTCTCATTCTCTTCCATCTTCTTTTTACTTTTAACTGTGACCCATGAAATACATTCCAGTTTAGAAGACTCCATGTTTATTTCATTCTCTTTCCAGTGAATCTGAAATAAGAAAAAAAAAAAAAAAGAAAGAAAAAAAACCAGAAAATATAAAAATACAGTTTCCAAAAGGTTAAATCCTCCAAGGTCAGGAAAGGGATCATGGGCAAAACAACCTCCTAACCTAAAGGTAGGTGCAACAATAACCAGGGAAGAAGAAAAGAAACAACTGCCACCTAAAAGTTGTTTTAAAGGTGAAAAAAAAAGTATTTTATGTCATAATCATTTCTCTCCCAACTTACTAGACCTCTAAAAACCATGATAAAATTACTCTAATGGTTGTGCTAATGATATGCAACTGCTTATAAAAAGAACACATATCACATGAATTTTCTCTGAATCTCCAAGTCTTAATAAAAAGACTGCCAAGTGTTTTTATCCAACACTTGAAAGCCTAAGATGGTTTTGATTTCAATATCCTAGCAAATCACACAAACCAATACATATTTCTGTGCCTGAAGATTACTAAAATGTACAGATTGTCAGCTAATACTCAGCTTTCAAAAAATTGTATTAAATATCACATAAATACTTTATTAGCCTGGTTGTATTCTTACAGCATCCTGAAAAACATAGCAAATAACAAAGCAAGAGTATTCCAGTAGATGCCCCAATAACCGATTCTAAGATTTTCGAATTCCAGCAGTTAAGTTGTTTCTCTTATTGCTGAAGGTGCATGTTTAAAGCTAAATGACTCATCATCCGAAACATCACAGGCATATATAAAGGCCATGCAGTCATCACCTCATAACAATGGACTGTTCAATCAGTTTAGCATAACTATTTAATCACTACACAAAAATTTTAAGTAACTGCACAGAGCAGAATAAAGTTAAAGGAAAACAATAAAGGCTGCATATTTGTGGAGAGGAAAAAAAAAGGGGGGGGGATTGAAATTATGGCCTCACATTACAACCAAAATATTCACTTAAATTTTACAAGCATGTGAAATAGGCAGACTTCTCACTATAATCTTTTTCAACTGTGCAAGCCTTTCAAGATTGGTGAGCAGCATTAAAACACAAAAATAAAGTTTCTAACTGGAACATTGGATAAATTAAAAGCTAACTTTTCCCAGCTCAGAACGACCAACACCACATTAGCAAACAGTTCTACAAGTATTGTACAGTTGGGATACCACAGAAACAAATCGTATGACTTCCAAAAATACCTGCAGGCAATCTTGCACCCCTAAAACTATTGTCCTTTTATTTAAAAGGAACATTAGTACTTGCCTGCATTATAAAAAATAATAATAAAAAAAATGTATAAAAATCACTAACTGGAACCTAACCAAAAGTCCCTTCTGCCCCACGTATAATCAGATGTTTTTGTTTGTTTACTGATGTTACTGTACCTCACCCATAAGTAATTTGATGTAATAATACTGGAAATATTAAGTGCGATTTGTGACAGCACTGAGGAAGAAGTCTCCAATCTAACTGGAAACTGACCTTGACAGAATATCATGTGGTAATTTTGTTTTCTTTGTTTACTTCAATAAACATAGAAAGTAAAAAAAAAAAAAAAAAGGTAGCGAGTAACTGGAAACACGTATTAGCTTAAGATCTTATCCGAACCTTAATTAAAAGGAGTATCAATTTCAATTTTTTCCCCCCACATGAAAGTCGAATTGCTCCACAGTGTAACACCCATTTTTCCACAAAGGGCCAAACTCTTAAGAAAATCGGGACAGAGGTGAAAGTGAGAGTAAAACAAAGATTAGCACAGAAAAAGATGAAAGATTCTTTGAAGTCAGGTATGCAGAAGTGTTAACATGGTATCTGCACAGAGCAATTAAACGCAAGAAAATATTTTCACAAGTGTTTGAAAAGTTTGAAAAGTTTCAAACTTTTGTTTGAAACATTTCAGTTTTTTGTGTGAAAGTTTCAGTACAGTACATTAATAGAAAACAATGAATCACTACAGTAAAGAGGAGTCAAGTAAAAAATGTAAGATGTATAGCTGTTTGTAATCAGATACATATATATGAACACATATAAAAGAAATGTATTCAAGAAGCTAATACCACGCATCAAAAGCACTTAGTAATATGATGCATTATTTGGCCCAAAAAGTCTCCTGCTGTCACAGGGAATCATAACTTTTAACTGCTAAGGATGACATCAGAAATATAACTAAAAAAAAAAAAAAACCCACCAAACAACACCCCCAAAACTTCAAAAACTAAACAAAAAAAAAAGCCAAACAAACCCAAACAACCCAGAAAAATCTTCCATTAAACTCTTTCAACCACCAAATACTTTCTACTGATTTCTGATTTAGTATTTCTCTATTCATATTGAAAAACTGACCCAATACATTTTTGTCAGAGAAAGAACCTTCCCCTTGACATACTAGAAAATCTGCTTGAGCATGCATTTTATTGGTGATACAGGGTTCCTGATTCCACTTTATATAGTTTCCCATATGGAGAATTGTGTACCGTTTTCTCCCCCCTCCTGCTCCTGTCCCAGAAGACAAAACTGATGTTAAGATGAACTATATTTGGTAATCAGCGATGTCAAACTGGGTACAATGAAGAGTTAAAAACAGGAAAGAGACTGGACTGGAATAGTACAGATGGCCTGTGCTACCCATAAAGGTGTGAAGCATATTTGCATGACAATGCATGCTTGAGGTGTCCCTCATTGTGCTCTTACCTTTGAGAGGGCAAGAGCAACAGGATCAAAACAGTGAGGCAGAAACACTAGGCTTGCTGTCAAGTCTCCCAACTGAATACACTACATCTCTCATCTCCAAAACTGCTTATGCACTGGTACCTCACCAACAGTGGCAATTCAGCAAACCTGTGCCCGCTGTCTGCATTTCATGTAGAGATTGCTCAGCATACAGCAGCCAAAATAAGGGAGCTCTTCCAGAACAATTTAAGACAAAGAGTACTCAATCACTAAGAACTCCTAGAAAGTAATTCTGTCTTGCATTTCAGGGATGCTTGGAAGTATTGTGTACAGTTCTGGTGTCCTCAACATAAAAAGGACATGGAGCTGCTGGAGCAAGTGCAGAGGAGGGCCACGAGGAGGAGGAGGAGACTGGAGCACCTCCCATACAAATAAAGGCTGAGAAAGTTGGGGCTGTTCAGCCTGGGGAAGAGAAGCTGCTTGGAGACATCAGAGCAGTCTTCCAGTACCTGAAGGGGGCCTATAAGGATGCTGGGGAGGGACTCTTCATTAGGGACTGTAGTGGTAGGACAAGGGGTAATATGTTCAAACTCAAACAGGGGAAGTTCAGGTTAGATATAAGGAAGAAGTTCTTTACTGTAAGGGTGGTGAGGCACTGGAATGGGTTGCCCAAGGAAGCTGTGAATGCTCCATCCCTGGCAATGTTCAAGGCCACGTTGGGCAGTCTTGGGGTGATATGGTTCAGTGCAAGGTGTCCCTGCCCACAGCAGAGGGGTTGGAACTAGATGATCTTAAGGTCCTTTCCAACCCTAACTATTCTATGACTCTAAGCATTTACCTGCTGGGCTGGGTTTCAGAAAAGTTAATCATTCACTGCAAAAAAATAAAAATAGTAATTAAAAAATAATTTAAAAAATGGTTCTGGGTTATCACTATGTTACCGTCACATTTCATTACGATGCTGTATAATTTCACATTCACAAAGTTGTGAATAAAAACAATTCCAGCTATTACACCAGGCAAGCGCACACAATCTTATCCTAATAAATTGGAGGATACATTCATTGTACAGTTTTCATATCTGGGCCAGATACTAATTTTCCAGAACACTGATATTTTATTCATATGGCCTCTGTTAAGTACCCACAACATTAGTACACCTTTTCCTGAAAATTTAAATACACCACCAGAAAGATCAGAAGCTACTTAAATATTATTTCACTCCAACCATCTTAAATTACTTTTTCCATAAATTAATTCTTTAAACTGCATAGGTCAAACTAAACATACTTCCTCCTCCAACAATTCAAACAATCCAAATATATAAGAAAAAGCAAGAAGGGCATGTCAGAAAGGTATTCCATCTAAAAGATCTCTCTGTACTTCTCAACCAGAACTTCGCACCAAATGGGTACTCAAGTCCCCCTACTATACTCTTTCGCCCCCCAAATGGTCATTCAACCCAAGGAACAGAGAGAAGCTGTGAAATAATACTATCTTGACACAGAGTTCTCTAGAGGGGCACTGTAGATGAGCCTTCCAATGGTGCCATAAGCAATGTGACTAACTTATGTCATCCATTTGTCATCACAGCCCTAAGGAGACAAAGTTTAGACTAGCATCTTGGTTTTAAATTTACAACATGCAAGCATATCAAAGTCTGAGTTTGTTAAAAAAAAAAAAAAAGGCCTTCAGATTAAAGGGATCAGTTTTGGATGACTGTTTCCAACCAAAGGCACTCAACAAAGGCTATGAACTCTCCAAATCAACATCCATTTTAAAGCCTAAATTCTCCTACCTCACCTACCTCTGAAGAGCAGACACTGTTCTTCAGTCATCAATGATCTCAACAAGCACATGGCCACCTTCTGTTGTGCAGCCTTACGGAACAAAATATATGCCTGCCACAAATTTCCAGCCGCTTGCCTCTATAGCTTCTAGAAGAACAGACATGCTAGTCAGCAGAAACACATGTTACCACCAGTTCTGCTGCTATACCCTAGCACACAAGTAACTGCAACCATCACAATCTTTTCAATATAACAAGTAATGTCACTGAATCAGCTTACAAATCAGCAGTCACTATTTTACCTAAACAAGTAACTTCTACAAGCAGATTTAGGTTTAGGAATCTTTGATACTCATTTAGATAAAACTGTTGAGATAAACAGCGGAGATAAAGTCTGAATACTGAAACTATCAATGCTTGGCTTCTGATAGTTTTACGTCTCACAGCTGAGTTCTCATGTGGTTTTCTACCTACTTGGGGATTTTGCCACCTCTGCTCCTTATTTCTTCTTATAAGGTCTCTCTCTTCCAGCCAGCTGCCTGTTTTCATGTACTTTGTAAGTACATTATCATTTATAAGACTTCTAGACCTTCCATCAAATCAGGTGGAAACTTGCGATGGGTTCAGAAGTTGTTGGCTCTGTGTATCTCTGAAATTTGCCTGAAGAATCATTATTTACATCTTCTTAGCTTCATTTTGCAACTCCTTGAAGTGTGTTGCATGACTACTGGCAAAGCTTTTTCATTCCCAATGCTAAGCTTACTTTTAAGCAACACAGTTTCTTTGCTTCTGCTTGGAAGTTCACACTTCTGTGCTGAGCCTGGCAACCTACTCAATGGTCTGACAACTGTGGTAAATCAATTTCTAAAGTAATATATGTTAAAACCTAGGAATTCCAGTACAAAACAAAAAAAAAAAAGGAAGAAAGAATAATTAAATGCATTACAATGTAATATGCTTATGATGGGAACCAAATAGAGTTTTCTGCAGCAAACCAACATTATGGAAACTGTGGTTGCTCTCTCTTCCTCAACAGAATGAAATCAATCAAAATTTCAACAATGTACAAGAATTTTATTGTTTTCCTCAGCTCAGAAGTTTTCATTTAAAATTGCCAAATTTGGTCAAGAACAAAAATTTGATTTGTACTGTGATGGTATTTTGAGAGTTCACTCAATTTTTTTGGTCCCTGCACAAATCCTGTCTCCTTGCACCTTTACCATCATGTTGAACTGTATATATCAGGAGATCTTTTTTGCCATAAGATACACCTAATGCTTTTAGTAATCACCAGTCTTTGTCTTTGAAAATTATACTATTCACTGCAAAAACTGACAAGGAAATATGTTAACATGCAAATTCTCACTATCTGAAACACCAGAGAAAATAACCTTCATCATTAGCACCTATATACAACACACACAACATGAAACAAGAACACCACTGTAAAACGGTGCGGGGAGTGGGGGAAAGCAAATTATATTCCTAGCAGTGACAATTAACCAGTAGCCTTGATTTTGTGGGCCATTTGCAAGTATACCAGCCAGTGGTATTGGCCTGACACATTCTTTCTGCCTCCAGTCACTAACTCATTAAGTCCCCAAGAGACAAAAACAGCGTTTGAGGGTTATCACTTCTAGAAATTCTTCCAACCAATCTCTGACAGTTTTAAACCCAGGTTTGGTTCTTTTTTTCTATTTTGAAGGCCTTTATCATCTCTTCTTCAGCCCTGATCCATTTAACTGTTCCTCATATGTCAAACGACTGCTCTTGTATGCACACTTCTCTGTATCCCTTCAAGATGGGAGAACTAGAAGAGTAGATGCTTTCCCAGACGGGTTTTGTATAAGCACAGATTATTTTTTTTTTTTAAGCTGTTCCAATAAAAACTTTCCTGTTTGCATCAAAACCAAAACAACAGGTTCACAGCCCAGCATCTCTGGGCTGTCATAACTAGACAACTTTAGAAATACCTACAATAGGAACTCTGAGTAAAGATCTCAAAGAGTACAAATTCCGAACCCATGACATGGGCCAGCATCTGCAGTTAATCATCACACAGAAACAACAGAGAAGGTTTTTGTTTCTCCATCTTCCTATTCCTTTACAAAGTGCTTTGTTCTGAGACTACCACGTACTCTTTCTTGAACCTCAGAAAGATAGAAGGTATCTCTACAGTCATAATTGTCACACTTGCCTACTTTTCCCAGTTAACTGTGTCCATAAACTATAACCATGCTTTCAGTTTTCTTTGTAGATGCTTGACCATGAATAGAAGTGTAAAACACTGAAGTTCTGTTCCTTCCCAAAAAGTGTTCTGTTTCTTAAGTTACCAGGAACAAAAACATAACTGAGTTACAAGGAAAAGCAATATGAGCATAGTCTTCAAGGCAACACGTATTTTATTGGTTTGACCAAAAGAAAAAACAAAAACAAACCCTGAATCGTTACACTTCCTAAATTTCTTCATGAAAAATCTGTACAAGACCTTTGCACCAATATTTCACTCAGTTCACACATCTAAAATTCTTATCCAGTTGCTGTCCCTGTTACAGCCTCAACTCAAGTCTCATTTACCTGGCTAACACCAGTTTGTTTCTGCTTAAGCCATGAGGACAATTTTTAGTAACTCTCTGAACAGACTTCATTCCCATCACTACACCCCTCATGTGACTGAATGGTTCTACTCTACCAAGAGGCATTAACCAAGGAAAAATCAAAGTGTTGCTACTGAGATCTTAGGAAGCAATGTAATCAAAACACGATAGTGCTAATACTCTGACCCTGAAGTCCCATGGGTCTCATACCCAAACAATTCTGTTAGGAGTACATCACATATGTCCTATGACTGACAAAGATCGTGCACTATCAACTTCTGATATTAAAGTGCACATTTTCGTATTTTACTGTCAACATCCCACTGGTCCAGGATAACTTTTTACACAAGTAACTTAAAAAACAAACCTAAAGAAAACAGTAAATATATCCTACTTTGAAATAATTTGTTAGGGGAGGAAAGGACTATGTATCATTTGATAAGGATAATTAATTTACTTATAAATTACATTATATATAGTTTATACATTTATATAACATGAGCTTTCACTATTTTAACATCTAAAATTACCCTTATACAAAAACAGAACAGTTAATACTAGAGTCAGAGGGGGAAGGGGATACTGCATCAGTCAGGCACAGTGCTGTTTATGTGATTAAGTTTTTCTCTCTTAAAATAATCCCAGTAGCTTCAAAGTTAAGAAGGGATTTTTTAAAATATATTTTTGCATGTACATGTAATGTAAAACATTAAGTAGAGATATGAAAAACTGAGACTTATTGTGGGAATGGAAAAATACATGTTGAAAGAGTGAGACATATTTCCGTTCAAAAGCTGACTTGAAATTATTTGCATTGAAAATCAAAGCAAACGATAAACTCAGATGAGAGGCTAAACATACAATTTGCATACATCTCTCTACATGCCTCGGAAATTCTTACCTGTACGAACACAGCAAATAACACAGCCTCCAAATCCTGTAAACTGATTAAATTTCAAACGGCTCCATACTACCTGTACTGGCATTTCCTGTTCTAAACACCCTCTGAAAACACTTCAGAGAAACTGCCTGATGGGCATGTGACTACCAAGTTAAACATTAGGTTCTGGCTCTCACAGAACCAACACAGAGGCGCACACCCGTCTCCACACGAAAACATCCCCATTTCAGGGGCAGGCTGTCCCCCGTTTACACAGCCTACGGGACAGCGCCCACAGCTCGCCCCACGATCTGTGTGTGACCCTCACCTGGGCCGTCCACAGGCGGCTTCAGGGCCTCACTCCCACTAGGGCCTCTCCGCGGGTGGGCGCCGCTCCCCGGGCCAGGGGCCGGCGGCGTCTCAGGCGAGCGACCCGGTCGCCGGCTCAGCGCTGCAACCTGACCAGACAGTCCCCACTTCAGCCCTCGGCCTCCCCTCACCGGACGTGACCGCCCCAGCCGCCACCAGACGTGCCGGCAGCAGGTGAACGGCCCGCGGCAGTCCCGACTCCCGGCCGCTGCCGCCCGGCACAGCTCGCCCTATCTTGCTGAGGGCAAGAGACAGACCCCACTCCCCACTCCCCATTCCCCAGCTCAGGACGTACGGCTACCTCCCACTCGGGGGCCTTCGCCGCTGCCTCACCTCCCGCCGCGACACGAACACGACTGCCACTTCACCCCCAGTGCGCGCATCGTTCCCAGCTCTCCAGCTCTCCAGCTCTCCAGCTCTCCAGCTCTCCAGCTCTCCCCTTCTCCCGGCGGCGAGTCCGAGCGCAGCCCCGCCCTCACACAAACTTCTGCTTCCCCCCTCCTCTCCCGGAGCCGCGCGCCCCTCCTCCCTTCTCCCGCCCACTGGTGCGCTTGCGCAATGGGGCGGCCGGCAGGCGTGGGGGGGGCAGGAAGGCGGGTGGGGGTCTCCATAACGGTATCCGGATCTTCTCGAGCGCTCCCAGCGCCCGGAAGGAGATAGCGCTGCGGGAGACCAAAGGGAGGGGGGAGTCACGGAAGCGGCTGAAGTAGACAGACCAATCACAGCATCACCCCCTCACGCTCGCCGGAGAAAGCCCGGGAGGAGGAAACAGCCGCCTTAGCTGGAGTGCGGCAGCGCTGCGCATGCGCAATAGGCACGCGGGAGGCTTCCTCACGGGTGCCCGTGTTGGAAGGACGTGTCGAGGCTGCGTTTTTGCGGTATGCTGAAGGCAGAGGGCAGGGGCAGCCGCTGCAAGGTAAGGGGTTGCGGCAGCCCCTCCTCCTACATTCCCCTTCTGTCAGTGGTTGAGAGCGCGGCTGTCCCAGGCGCTGTTGTGGTGGCACCTGAGGTAACTGGGAGCAACTCTTCCAGTCGTCCGGTCACAGCCCAGGAAGCCTCTGTTGGGGCTGTTCCAGACTGCAGGGTGTTCGAGTTAATAGCCCGTTAAAATGAACGAGGCAGCAGTTGTCTTTCCAGCAGTTGTTTTCAAGGGCTTATTTCAGGGTATCTGTCTACGCACATTGGGCTTTACTTAAGATAACCACAAAACAACACAGGCACGGTAGTGTCTGGTGGGGAGAGGGCAGCTTTTAAGCCAAACCCCAAACAAGTGTACATACACCTCAAAATTGTGTTGTGTTTGAGTTCCATGTTACCCAAAAAAGTCCTGTATTACGTATATACCTACCCGAGGGTCATTGGCCCAAAGTCATGTTCCCTATGCTTTTTATCTGGTCTGTTATTTTTTGTTTGTTTGTTTCTTTGGGGGGGGGGGGGTCTTTTGTTATTCTCCAAAGGAGTTACATGTTGATGAAGACTCCTCTTTCTTGTTGCTCAAGTACCTTCTGTATTGCATTATTGTAATCTTGTTTGATAAACAAGGAGATTTCATTAATATGTTATTTCTGTGAGTATTTTAGGTATTACCACACCCAACATCAGTTCTGGGTGCATGCTGCTGAATGCAACTTTTTGTATTCTCTCTCTTACTGTTGCATTTTTTATGGTTTGGTGGGATTGGAGAAGTATATAAAAGCATGTTCACTTTCCTAAGAGCATCTCCTGTAATAGTAAATTAAATAGTTTCCCTGTAAAGTTGCCTTTCTGCATCTCCTTCAGGTCATCTAGGTTGCAATAACATTTCACTCCAGAACTGACTGTGCGGAACATTAGGCACTGCATCAGATTAGTTCACTGCCTTATTTATACTGCACTAGTATTGCTTTTGTATCCATTTTCATTAAAAAAATCAATTTTAATACATTTTGATCAGATTAGTTTTGGTAGCCTTCCATTGTATTGCTCGTATGAAGATGCACACTGGCAAAGGCAGTTTTCTCGGTTTCAGTCTCCAGTCAAGTGTCTAACTTCTGACTTCAAAAAGCTCAAAAGTTCTTTGGGGAGATTTTCATTAGCTTTTCCAGGCTTTTGTTATTTATATGTATATATATATTTATATGGTTGCATTTTTCAGTGAATTGGATAGACCTATTCACTAATTGGAGTTACTTGATACAGGGTTTGTATGAAGTGTTTTTTCTTGAGACTTTCAGATGTTATGGCTAGTAATTGGCATATATATATATATGCACACATAGTCTTTTAACAGATACCCTGTTTACTGGTCTCTCACTTTCTGAAACATTTCCTATATTTGTGATTTTTTAAAGGAATTGAATATCTAATTTTCTCTTGGTGCTAAAATTCATACAGTATGTTAGCACAATGAGCTTTCCGAGTGTTTTTCTGTCATTCTTTTTTAGCTATTTATTGATAAATATTTGAATTTCTAGTTCTCACTACAAATTTTAAGATAAAAGCATGTTAAAGTTGGTATTTTAACATTACCATTAAAAATCCAGTTTTGTATTAGTGCATCTTGTTATTCTGCATTTATAAGGAACATTCTGCTTTGGTTAGTATCAATTTAGTCCTTGATCCCTACTTTGCAGTCAAGCAAAGGCATCTGTGGATCCCAAAGTGGGATTATGACCTCATTCTGATTATGACCTTGTTTTGATATTTTTCCTTCTCCATGGACTCTGCTTTTGTCTTTGCTTCTGCCCTTTCTTCAGCACAGGGTTGTTTTTTACTGCTAATCTTTTAGGAGTCCCTTAGAATTTATATTGAGGGGTTTTGTTTCTTTTTTTCCTGTTCCTTTTTTTTTCCTCGGAGTAAGTGTAATCTGTGAGTTTTAATTATGGTATATTTTAAGGTTCCCTACCAGTGAATCTTGATAGTCTTCCGCACAGTTTAGACAGCGAATGACACAGGTGCAGCACAGAAAGCCCTGAATGAGGAAGCAGATGAACTTTAAAATTAGAATAAATGGTGCAAGTACAAACCAGTGTTACAAGCGCAAATGATTTCTTGTTGTAGTTATTGTCAGTACAGGATATGTGCTATGCATGATGCAGAAGAATGTTTATGTGGTGTTAGTACTGATGTTTATGTAAAGTTTGGTAGTGTTGGTAACATAGATTGTTAAACTGGATAGTTAAAAAGGCATTAAACTTGGAGGAGAGGGATCCAAAGTAAAATAGGCTTTTACAGTTCTACTCAGTAATCCAGCCATTTAGATTGGCATAAGGCTAACAGGCCTATATTAGGATCTTCAAAAGGAAGAAAGATCAGTGTAGCAGAGTGGATGATGGAGAGATGGGGTTTGGCATGTGACACAAAACACAGCTGGAAGAAGATGGAGGTGGACTGTGTCTAGGCCCTTAAACATATCTAGGGCGCTAGGGTTTGCACATGTCCAGTCCAGGTTAAAACATATCTATGGAAAGTCATGCACCAAAAGAAAAAATTCAGCATAGTTAGGAAACATCAAAAGGTTTCTTTGTGAGTTGGTGATCATGTGAGATCAGCTGTATATACTCAACAGGAGCTGTGTATGTACTTACTGGGGGATTGAGCAAAAAATAATTAGTAAATTATGTGTAGGGTCTGAGGCAGAAAAATCCACAAGCTAATGCAGAATTTAAGGTGTGGTTATTAGTTAAATATTTTTTGAGAATTTTCACTGAAATCACTACACATTATACTGCCTGTTATGGTCCAGTCTGTTTTTCTGGCCTATCACAGAGAATGTTATGTGTGATGAAGTACCATTTATCATTGATTTTTAATGCATTTATGAGACATTCCATTATAATTGTAAAGTATGTTTCATTCCAGTGGCTGGGAACCATCGTGTTTTTGTGAAGTAATTATTAAGCTCTTAAGAAAGTGTCTGCTACTCTGCTGAGAAGAAAGAGAATGAAGAAAACAATTCTTTGAGAAGAACCTGTAATCTGAAAGAGATCAGGGACACTAGGCTCTATTCTGCATAAATATTCTGCATAATAACAGGATGAAGCTTGACTAAGTAAAGTAGGGGTTATTTAAGAGGCTGTATTGCTAAACTACTTAAGAATATGTGATATTCCATGTTCTCTAAACCTTTGGGGTAACGTCAGATTATATTGCCGTGGTTTAAGCCCAGCGGGTAACTCAGAAACATGCAGCTGCTCCCGGAGGGATGGGGAAGAGAGCCGAGAGAATGTAAGAACAGTCCAGTAACTAAGGTATAATACGAAACCGTTACTGCTGCCACTAATAATAATAATAATAACGGAAATAGCAAGGGGAGAGAATACAATTGCTCATCATGCACTGACTGATACCCAGCCAACCTGAGCAGCAGTCTAGGGCTTCCAGGTGACTCTCCCCAGTTTATATACTGGGAATGATGTGCTGTGGTATGGAATACCCCTTTGGCTAGTTTGGGTCAGGTGCCCTGTCTCTGCTTCCTTCCAGCATCCCATGCCCCTCTCTGGCAGAGCATGAGACTGAAAAGTAGGCATTACTTACCAGCAGCTAAAACACTAGTGTGTGATCATCACTGTTCTCAGACTAAAGTCAAAACCATAGCACTGCACCAGCTACTAATGAGGAGAAAAATGACTGCTACTGCTGAACCCAGGACAATATGTTTAAACTTTTTTGCCGAGAGAGGAGAAAAAAAAAATCTTTCGAATTCCAGGACACTCTTGTAGTTACTTGTCTTCAGGAACAGTGTTTTTTCACTGGTTAGCTTGGTGCTCTTCATAATGCTGCAGGAGTTACCAATAAGGAAAATATTGGTAGGAAGCAGAGCCATAAAGCAGTAAAAGA